CCATTTCGGCTCTCAATCTATGGTCACCATTGTTACGTCACAAAGAAATCGTGATATCACACAAGTGTAATACGCTAAAATATCATATTGGTAGATAATCTCTAAACCTGACGTCACCTATGTCACAAGTGTACGTAAGAATATTACATGAGTATAATCACTTATTAGCAACACTATTATGTGATATATAAAGGTTCTAAACTTTAACCTGTTTCATAATTTAATAAATTCCATACAAAGAATTACATCGACACAGGTGCGAGATTCTGTTTATCAAATAATCATGTTAAGACGTCATCACGATTTGACTTCTTCATGACGATGCAATTGTGTTATTGCACATGACTTTAACGATATATTGAATAGTTTACTCAAGTGTGGGATGACCTTGGGTTATAGCCAATCTACAGTATTGCTGAATTGTATTATCCCCCAACCCCCACAAAACAATAGTTGAGAGCAATGTTTTAATTCATCGATCTTGTCTTCAACGCCCGATGTGTTATATCACTGTTGTTCTGGGCTGTATGATTTCCTATTCAAATGACAGTCAAGAGTTTTGAAGTGCAATACTTGATTCAGTAAAGTTGTCTTCAACAAAGTCTTAAATGTTACACGGTCTATGTACAAACAGTCTACATTATACACAGACAAGTCAACTGTGTACATATATTTTATAGTACATTCTTATCAGGAATAGATCCAAGCACCATTCACCAAACATACCAATACAGGTCATGATCTCCATTTGATTCAATTAATATTCCAAATATACATATATATCAAAGATTGTATTTTCGATTGCCATCATAAGATATTAACAGGGATATATAACTGTGTTTGTATCACATTACGATCTCAGATAGAAATGTGCGTATGTGTTATTTAATGTTAACGATAGCTTTCATGTTAATTATGATACCCTTTGATAACTTGACATTTAATCTAAGGGCAATGTTGTTTTTTTGAGAACATAACGCTCAGTTATCTGACGTGTGGTTGAACGAAGAGGATTGACATTTTTAGTCTAGGTGCTACACTGATGGACACCTTTTCCGCTATAAATATTGAATCATTGCGCAACTGGATCACATGTAAGGTTCATATAACACCACTGAGATGACAAATCCATCGATTAATCCAGATTAAATGAATTGTTTGTGATATTCTAGCGACGTTGGAAAACATATCGATCCGTAGAACTAATTTGTAAATGTGATGGAAACACTTACTTTCCGACCGAGATCGTTAAAGGCGTACAATCTGAAGGAGTTTCAACAGTCACTTAAGGTTAGTAAAATAGGATGTGCTAGAATGGCTTGTCAATGTTGATACCTGGTGTTTAAATATGTTGTAAGGACATATGTACCAAAACGTGTTGCCACAGTTATTCTGCTGGCCTTGTTTGGAAACAATTTAAAGCAAACTTTCTGACTTATCCTTTTGATTGATGCAAGCTAATTACGTCAAATCGTGTTAGAAAAGTAATGTCGCAGTTTTTTTTCCTAAATACTAAATGTTGTGTTACATTGATATCAACGCATTTTATAATTAAGCTTCTCGATGTTTCAGTGCTTACATATGAAATATATGTTGTTGCATATGATGTATCATGTCTTCTTGTAAAGTTTGCCTCAGCTCTTTTCATCACTCGCCTCTTATTTGCGTTATTCTGTATCGATGTCATGGTATATTTAGCTTGTTTTACATCTGGTTATACTCTCACTGATTGCGTCATTTAACAAAAAACATGATTGACATGGTTGTATTAATGCTATAGATTTGGAAGTGATTACAATTCCCTCACATCGAAACTATAAATCTATATCAACATATATTTCTTAATTAGTAATGTCCATGTCTTTCAGGCAGAAATTATCGATATTTTCAGCTAAATACGACTGTCAAATTCAAGAACTACAAATGCTGAATGTTTAAAAAAGTAATCTTTTCATTTTAACCAATATTTCAAGAGAAGTAGTCAACTAAAATATAGAATGATAATACGTTTAAAACATTTTATAGTCAAGTTAAAACTTTGGGGTTATAAAAATTCGTCAGTACAAAGCAATTATTACAAGAGATAACAGAATGGGGTATCGTAGTTACAAACATATTTCACCTGATTGCTTGTTTAAGTGACATATAATATCTCTTTATTATGATAAATTAGCATAGTGATTGATATTACTACGGAGGTATGTAAGTAAGAAATAACATAAAAGCTATATTTGAGTCGAATGAAGGTCCAGCCCGCTATTACCTCTTAGTCGTTCTTAGGATGCCCTTCTTAAATTTGATGAAGATGTTTGCAAATCTTGAATATGATATACACAGAGGAAGGATTAGCATGATGAACGTTATCAAGGGGTTGTAAACATTATAATGTATTTGATGTATTTGCTATTGAAACAATATTTTGACATCAAAATATCTATCATTCAACAAATATATTATACTTTTCGAATAATAAAAATACATGCATAGAATGGCATGTTTAAGAAAAGGATTTTGATATGCATTTTGTAAAGTAATTCTCATTCACGGTTTGTGTTCACACGGTATCGCCTTACATGGATTCGTGTATCTCGAGATATAAAATACACGACGATCATTTGTGATTGTATCCTTTCTTGTGACCTTGACATGCAAGCCACGTTTTAATAGGAATTCAGAATATACACACTTACTTCACGTTGTTATACAATGACCATTTAAAAAAATATAACATTTACCAACTTTATTGAAATATGTGGCTAATGCGCCTCCCCATTCTGACTTTTTCCCGGTCATTTTGGATTTTTCTTAATCGTCTCAGGGGCTTTCAAATTTAGGCCCATAACATTACTTTAAAGTTTAGGATCTTAGCATCACTGACGAGCCCTAGAGGACAAAACAGCTGTATGATGCAGTTTAATTCATTGTTGACTGTAATGTATCTTACTCTAAATGTATTAAATTGTGCTATGCACTCGTTTGTCTTTTTGTAAACTATTCTAAAGAAAACGAACATGCAAAGACTTCTATCATGAACTTAAGAACTACACCTTTGTCGCCACTCGTAAAACTAACTTATCTTCTTACATTTGGTATTCACGTGAGCACCTTTTCTGCAATCTCAGTATGTAAACCATGAAGTGTATATATTTACATGTCTACAAACCGTATACATTCTCCAATATTCACAATGCATAGTTAACTATATGACAAATTATTAAATAGTTTTTTTTATGTACTCTAAAGTAGGCAATTTGATATATATTTGTGAACTTTTTAGCTAACAAATCTGAACAGACATCTAACATATGTTACGTGTGTTACCTATCTATTGGTCCGCGACGATCTTTAACTAGGTCATGTACTGTAAGGTAAGTTAACAGTCTAACAGAAATATACAGGTACCAGATATTTTAAGAGTTCGGTTAGGTTTTTGCTAAGTCGACATGAACGAACGAATTTGTCATGAAAGTATGTATCAAAACAGGTCACAAAGACCACCTTGCGAAGTCGTTTAATTTCATTACGTCTTGTCTTTAGATAACAAGATATTCATTGACCATATCTATCATATATACCCACCACCACCGATAATCAAGGACACGATAGACTCTTCTATATCAGCCACTTATCTCGATCTTTTCCTACAACGAGACCTACATGAACTGCTTTCCACGAAGTGTATCATAAGCTCACTGATTTTAATTTCCCTACTGTGAATGTTCCAGTTCTGGATAGCAACATCCCTGCATCTCCCCAACTTATGATGTTAACATGTCTCAGTCGATTCTATATTCAAGGGCCTGTTCCCATTATCACGATGCAAGAAGTCGTCTAGTGACGGACAAACTCATAACACAAGGTTTCAAAAGATGCAATATGAAGCTTGACATGTTTGATGTTCGTTAGTTTGCCTACTGTTTCCATTGTTGTATACTTTGTTATCATTTGAGAACATGACATTACTTACTTGAATTACCAAGATTAACATGGCGGGTATCTTCGATGAAGCAAAAGACGCTTACTATTCTGGACCTCTTGGTATTATTCTTATTACACTTTTTCATGAGTCTCCGTGTAAATCATTCCTTTATTCATATCTTGTTGAATTTGAGTTTGTGTTATAATTATGCTGACAAGGTATTTTTTTTGTTTTGTTTTGTCTTTTGTCTTTTCTTTTTTTTGTACTGTTAAACTTCCTGTCTCGTTTCTACTTGTCAATATTACAAACCATTAAATATCGAAGGCAACAATATAACATAGAATGTCAACTATTGTTCATTATTGTTCAGCTGCTGTAACACGACATTTGACTTGTCGATGATAATACTTGGCAGGCATGGTATAGGTATACCTTCGGAAGATGTCGATGATTTCGGTTGACATCGGCAAAGTCAATATTGATTTTGTTTTTTCTTATGCACTCATTGTGGATAAGGGTGGAGAAACCTTTACCTTTGATTTGTAATTGGCCGTGGTATATTGGGGTTTTTTTTCTCTTTTTTTTTTTTTAAATTTTCAATTACTTTTGGCTTCTTTTTGTTATTGTAATGTCAGGATGCAGGAGAGGAGTGGAGAAGTTCTGGCCACCACGAAAGTCGAAGCCTTGGTTCTAAAGCCCAGTATATGTTATCACGGAGTTAAATCCTATAAATACGATGTATTTAAGAACATAAATGTGTGAATGTTTATCTAGTTTATACCGTGTTACTCATACATATGGTACAAAAGCTACTTAATTGAATATCTTTTTTTTTCAATAAAAAATATAGTAAGATATGATATACGTGTCGCAACATAATAGATTAAGTTTATCATTCGGTTGTCTCGTCCTTCTACGACCTCTTCAATTATGTAAGCAGATGACTGACGAATGCAACTGGTTGACATCGATAAAGAAATATTAATGGGGAGAAATATTTCTACAATATATCCCGTTTTGATCCAAATGTGGACAACAATTTCGCTAATCATAGTGTCTCTCTTCTGTGTTCTGTTCTCAGTCTATCCATGAACAACATGACACCTATCCGGACAATGACAATGATGACAAGTACACAGTGGCTAGTACTGTCTCAACAGCCTTCACCTTGGGCTCTAACTACACAACTGGAACAGAAAACTACATACCCGTGTCACGGTTGAGTAAACACAGCTTTAAACTTCGAACCACATCAAGTTTCCCGAGTATACTTAACCTTTACAAGCATCCTATACTCGAGGAGGTGAGTACAAACAAACTGTGCCTTTGTCAGTGTAAAGTTAAACGTTAAAATGGTGTTAAATTATGTAATACGAATGTTACCGTTCGTTCATGCACTTTCAAATTCATTAACAGATCTCAACGAAGGCAACAGTGAAAGCAATTGAAGCGAAACCATGAAAATGATTGTCTGAAGTTTTTAATTCAATGTTATCATAATTCTTCTTATCAGCCTTTTGAAAGCATTTACCCGGATCAATCGGAAGCCAGTTTGAAGCGCTGTTTTGCTCGTTATATAGATAGATGTTATTCGGAAATAAACTTATTACATTGGTAGATAGACATCTGCCACATGATGTCATGTATTCATTTCAAAAAGAAGTAAACAGCTGTGGACAGTTGACATAATTACATGTGAAAATTAAAATCTCTATTTGCCAAAATAACTTTAAGACTGCTGATGACAACAAGATTCGCCTGTACATATATGTATTTGTTTAGTTTCATTTCAAAGTTTGTGTTATTTTCGTTAGGGAGGCGATAAAAATGACGTCATCATCAAGAGAAAGCCGGGACACCGACAAGAGGGAAAAGGAAAGAAAACTTCTGAAAAGGGAAAAGTGGACTGGGATCAAGTGATAGAATCAAGAAATAAACAAGAGGTAATCTACATGGGCAATCCCTCAATCATCTGACTTTGTTTATCATCAGCTCAGCTTGTTTGTCAAACATTATTTGTTGTGTTGATTGTCAATATATTGCAAATGCATAAGCTGTTGCTGAAATACGCCAAGTTCAGCAATATATTTTACAGAAAACTCCTATCAAACAAGTCCAGCAACCAACGATATCCATAGTAAAAACATGCCTGACTGAATCTTGGAAACACTATTCTGTTGTTGTGTTCCATCGCTACAGAGTAATTTTCTATGTACTAAATTCACATAGAATCGTGCATCTGTTCAAATATTCGATGTGTTAAGATTCAGAAAATGGCTTCTGATTAAATTTTCCCACATTCATGAGTTCTTGGGCAAAATTGACAGAAACAAAAAAAAGTGTCTTTTTTTTTACAATCAGCATTCATCATTGAAACGAACCTTTATTCAAACGCGCAACCTCCTTGTATAGTGATTAATCAGCTGAAAATTATATTGGCGTGTTCGGCTACTTAGCCAATACATATTTGTCAAATTAGTATGCCTAGTAATTCAAACCCTGGTCATATTTTCATGTATAAATGCCAGCAATTTAAGTGCAATTTAAGTGTCTGACCTATCGATAAGTGCAATCATGACAATAGTTAATCAATTTCACATGAAATTATTAATTTTCTATATCATATTTTATCACGGAGTGCCAAGAAAGGTCAATATTTGCTATGGTTGTTGTCTGCATTTAGACAACATAGATCGCAGAAACAATCGGAAAGCTAAGGTGACATAATTATGTAACCTTAACGATAACTGTAAAGATTATTTGAGCCATTAACTTTAACAAATCAGGAAGCCAGAAAGTATCCCATTGGCTGCTTCAACGGCGATGTCCATTTAAATTTACCTACATACCAGTATAGGATACAACATATACACAAATTTGACAGCAACGCTTTACCAGAAGGATCCTTATTGGTAGCGTATTCTTGACTTTAGTTAAAAGCATAGAAAAGATATCGTGCAATTTCTGGTTTTGAAATTCATGATGTTATAAACATCTTAAGACTAAGATATTTATATGATAGATTTCAACATTACGGGTGCGTTTCTATAGTATAAGCAACCCTATGACGAAGTCTTTGAATCATGAGATCATATTTTATACATATATATTAAAAAGTACATTGTATCTAATCAAATTATTTTACGCTTTTTGTGCTTTTTCAATTATATATGTGCTTTACGTTTGACTTTTAAAGATTGTTCACTATGGCGTAATTGAATATAGCAGTATTTACGTATGTGTTTGAATTGTTTGCTTACATAAGTAATGCTTTTATACAAACATACAACGACATGTAGAGTTAAATGCTTACAGTGTATTAATGTATGCATTTCAGTCAAAATATGGGTTTGCTTGAAAGATTTATTATATACAATTATTGTGAATGTCAATTTAAAATTTGTTTACACTAGGCCAAAAGTATACAGCTTGTTTACTTTACAGCACTAACTGATATCGCTTTCCTTTTATTGACTAATATTTCGTTGAACGCTGACATGTGATCACAATGTATATTTATAGGGTTACAATATGAAAGTAAGTTGTCCTAATACTTTTTGTACTGAACATTTCTACATTAACGTTTTCAAAGGTAATTGCTATGAATGCTTATGATGTGATGGAGTGAATATTTATATTAAATTTCTTTAGGTGTCTAAACTGTCATTTCATGTTAAATACCATTAACGAATTTCTATATACAAAATTCTTACACTCAATACACTATATTGCAAAATGTCAAACATATTGCTAAAGATGAATGATGATGATGCGCATTGGTAAATATTGAAAAGTCTCGTTGCCCGATCAACATGGGGAGTGAAGATATTTGTATTGGTGTTCGTTAATGGTTTTAGCAAAAGCATAATACCCATTGATCTTTGTATACATCTACCTGCTAGTTTTGCAGAAAAAATAGGTTATTGGTAGACAATCTAGACGAAATTACAATAACTGTTCACCATGCCTGCTGTGAGGGAAAATGTTTGGATGTAAAAACATAAAAAACTTAACATTAAAAAATAAGTTGAACATGTATTTCCTATTTCGTAATGGATGGACGTCATATCAGATATGTGTTTTTATAATTTCCTCAACAGATGTTCACATACAATGTTTAAAACGAAAATAAATGCCCCCCTATGTAACTGGTGATGGCTTTACGTCCTAAAAACTATGCCGTTTGAGTTTATCTGATTGTGGTATTTCATTTGGTGGATGGTTTAGATGGTGATGGTTCGGTATCAACATATCAAACCGATATCCCTTGGCTTATTATAAAGATCCAAATTTTAGTGATTCTTGCATATGAGACAGTAAGGACGATTTCTAAATTTATATTTCAAAAGAAGTTTTGCATTTCATTCTGGGTAAACTTAGTCTACTCTCTGACCTGGTGATGGTTTAAAATCCAATATTGCTTTTCTCTTCTAAAACTTAGCCAGTTATATTTGGGTTATATATCTATAATTCTAAATGTTACCCTCGGGCACTTTTGGCATTTAAACATTTTTCGTTAACAATTTTTAGTAATGACTGTAAACCTAACACCTTATATTGATATCTTAAATATTGTACAATACAATATTTAATTGATTTTGAACGATTAAAACCTCTATATGTATATACTGTTAAAATACTGTTATTGGTGGCATTCGTGTGTGAAATTATCCATCGTCTTAACATTTCGATATACAAATGGTTTCTGTTAACATCAGAAATTGTAAGGAAGCAAATGACACAAAAGGTGAGGTAATGTGCTCATGATATAAGATTAGAATGGCGGAGTTATGACTGGACAATACTTTAAGTGGTATCTTAACATAAATGATATATATTATTACTTTCCATTTTAATCCCAGCGATACTAACAATCTTCAGTAGAGTAGGGAAAACATATGTCATCTTCGTCTTTATATACAAGCCATTAAGGAATTTTACATACAATATCGCCTCAGGTTAGTTAAACGTAAAAGCCATCAAATGTTCAGAAATGTTCGATATAAAGTGACTTCTTTTTTCGAAAGAAGGACAATTAATCCTGAATGCTTAAGGGTAATCATAAAGCCAATTAAAGGGTTAATTGGTAAAATATTCCTGTATGTTTAGACATTAATCTATTTACTGTAAGATACAGTAGAACGACAAAGTGAAATACCTAATCGCCATTGTTATATTTTTCACAGTATTTTTTTCCGATTCATTTCGATTGGTATTAAAATGAACGCCCTCAGAGTTATCTATTATTTTATCCAAGATGTAGTTTGCATCCTTATACACATGGATTTAGTACAGAACACTATTGTCAACTGTATTTTAAAAGAAACGTAACTTTATTTATCTTCAAAATTAAAAGAGTTTGATCTTAATACACATATTTCTTTGTTTGGATAAGTCACTGCGGCAAAATTGAAGGCTCATCGCTAATCATCTTGTTGATTTCATATAAAATAACCTGTCCGATCTTTAGGCTTATGTCAGTCATCTAAATATTACAGAGGCACTGTAAAGCTACCAAAGTAGGTCAATCTGACACTTGTGCGGTCACGAATTTCCTTTTTTGTTTATAAAAGAGATTACAGACCAGCATAGTTTTGTGTTCGTGTACTAAGCTCCAGGGTTGTCTACTCATATCATTCGCCGTCAGACCCTTCGAATTCGCGATTGAAATTTCAATGATTGTAGGAATCCACACACAGTCTTTTTATGCCAAATTTATTTTTTTAATAACGGTTTTAATTTTGTCTACCTATCAGGTCCATGTCCTTAACGACAGGACGATGTAAAATTCATACCTTGCATGTTGTGCTCGTGTACATTGATTTTAAAGAATGTTATATTATTGACAAAGCTTATCAAGGTTTATTCTTATAATGCATGTATTGTAAGGCATGTTGTGCATTTAAAACGATTTACTATGGACCTTCCAAGTATATAACATCTTCTAACACTGAACGAGGGAATATTGTCCCAACATTATTAGACGTGTAAATAGGATTTTAACCAAGTATAAATATCACATAACAAAAAGTATATTTGGTTATCTAGACGTGTATATACCATGTTTATCCTGCAACTGGCATTGTCATTTTTGGAATACATCCGCCACATATATGTTTGCTGTATTCGGTATTTACGGAAAGCAGATATATTTTAGCACTTGGGTGAATTCAACAGAATTACTTGATGTAATTACTTTAAAATTAATGTTGCAGGATGAATAGAATACATGGTAAGTGTCTTGAAATATAAGCTGCATTTTGGCTAGGGACAGAAAGACAAAAGTGGCTCGCCACTTTTGTCTTTCTTCACCCGCACCAAAATAAAGCTTATAATTTAAGACACTGATCATGTATTCTCTGTGTATTGCTAAATATTTCTGTTGATTGCTACTTTAAATATCTAAATTAATGCAATTAAATTACTTGTCTGGGTTTGCATATACATGAATATTTACTCTTCAATATACTGTAACTGTAGAAATTTATGCGGTGGATTATTTTCGCGTGGGTAAACTATACGCGTAGGGGTTATTTTCGCGATCATTTTTTATTTAATTTTGTTTATAAAATTTAAGTACATCACGAAATATTATGCGCGAGGGAAATTCAAGCGATATAACGACCTTCGCGTAATTAGCGTGAATTCCCCTCTCGTGTCAATTTCCACCTTTACAGTATCGCTATTCTTTCTTGCTATGAGATCGTTCAAGTCGTCCTATTGTGGATCAAGACCTTTCTGATAACGATAAAATATAGCCTTACTTAATATATTACTTGCTTTATTTGTAATATTACATGTAACCTACAATACCTCTGTTTTTGAAATGCTCATAATATCATACCAAATACACATTTAGATATTCTACACGTTCTCATCCTATTTTCAAAGTTCCTTAATATTGCTCTACAGGATACATATTTATATGTCTCTTCTTGGGCGTATCCAATGTTTTAAAGATACTGAATAGAATGTGTATGTCTATTAGATAAAATGTATGAAAATATATTACAACATAAAATAAATGTTATAAAACATGTGATGTTTTGTTCAATATTTCAAAATTTCCGTAGGCTGTATAACATGAAAATTGACATCATTGTAATATATACATATCACTTCACATACTTAATTCATTTATTTGAAAGATCTCTATAAATGTAAGTAATTAAATTACATTCTTTATTATACATTTCATTTACAGTCTAATTCATTACGAACGTTGAGCAATCAATTAATTTCTTCGTTCGAATATTTCAGCAAAGAGCTATTCGAATCGAAGCAGTAGCCAGAGATCAAATGGAAAAATATGAAAAATATATTAAAAATCTGAAAGCTAAAGTCGAACTTCAACGAGAAGCACGTAGAAAACAATACGAGGAGCTAACGGAACGCCTACGACAAAAGGAGGAAGAGGTATTAATGACATCAAACAACCTTACTTCAGGATGATGGTTTTTAACTTTGATGTTTGACCATTACTGTTAATCACAATCAGGCATATTGATATTAGTTTAAAAGAATATTTCATACTTTATCAACTCTCTAGCTGATTAAAAAAAACTCTTCCAGGTAGTACGCATCATTGTCAAATATTTATTTCTTTGTTTTAGTATCAATCTTTTTAAAATTAAAGCAAAGTTTCCTTAGACGAATACTTCATTTCAGGTCAATATTTAACAATTAACCTTTCCCCCTTATAAGCTTGCACATGATAATATGCCGCTGATTCGTCTCCACGTTATATTAGTACAAGTGATGATAGAAATTAATGATTTAGAGTTCATACCGTATAAGTGTTATGGAATAATAACGTCATCTTTTTTTCCATTTCAGGATAAAAAACGACGATATCTCGTATTGAAAAGACCGAAAATGGAATACATACACGACAAAAAATATCTTAAGAAACTTCCCAAATCTAAATTCACAAAGGTTTGTCCAATAGAAAAAAAATATAAAAAGAATAATAATCTGTTTCACAGGGTTATGTTTTACGTCTATCAACTCAATCAGTGTTGATTAATACGTAAATAATTATTTCAAAATTTTTGACTTTATCTTAATAATATTTGACAAACTCTAATATCGTAAGTGATGACTATTGTAATCATGAGGAACCCCTTGCAGATTTTGCGGTTTCTGCAATGTCTTCTGTTAATAAGACAACAGGGAGTCCAAAATCATGCTCTGTAAATTGTTAGCTATACAGTGTATCTTTCCAACAGCATTTTGTCTTCCACATTACATATGGTGATGCTTTTAATAACAATGTAATTTTAATTTCAGATGGTGTTATTGTCAGACGATCTACAAAAGAAAGGGGTTCTAGGCACCAGGAGTGATGTAGACAGATTTTGGAGTGACTTCGGAAAATCAGGAATGGAAACTGATATATTTGCCGCAAAAGATCCTTTGAAAGAAGGTGAAGACTTTTGTACACCTGACATATTTATCATTATAACTTTATTTCGATATCATATAACACTTGAATGTACCTGTAAAAGTTTGGGATTTCCTTTATGTAAAATAAAATTTGTCTAAAGCTGGTAAAGGAAGCGAAGTTGCTACCAACATCAATGTCTCTAATAAAATGTTTACCAAATACTATTGAAGGAGCATTCAGAACACCTGAGTCTAAGGTCCGCTGCAGAATCTTTATATAATAATAAGAAAGGGAGAAAAACAAACAAAAACAGAATTGTATCTGTTCCTTCATTTGTGTGATCGTAAGAGGTGACTAACTTTGAGATATCTACATTTTCTGTCTTTTTTAAAGATCTTTCTTGCTCCTAACTTCTCCATTGACACTGTCTCACTTTTCACCTACAGTTGGGCGTTTATCTTTATGATGAAGACTTTGGCCGAAACAAATGAGAACTACCCCTAGCATAACTTTCCCATCCTGATAGTGATATGACTACTTCATCCGTTGTTAACATAGTGTGACCGCGTGAGGTGTCCTGCTTAATACCTCCGATTATATATTACAGTGTGATAGAACTATAAAGTCGGTTTCAGTTCTGCACTGTCAGATGAAGGCAAACACGAATTACAGACACATATTTAAATGACATTTGCTGCTGGAAGTACAATTTCAATAAAACTAGGGCAAAATATGACAAAAGAAATATCTTAAGGAGGCTCCTGTAAAAGAACAAGAGAACAAGATGTACAGATTTCTTTTTAAAAAACTGTACAAAAGAAATTGAGGTAAATACTTCATTTAGGCGGATTTTATTAGAATTTCACTTTTCTTTCGATCACTTTGGATTTCCCCCAGTCTCTTCCTAGCCTTCGAAATTTAGGCCCTTGGCATCACTGATGAGTCCTAGAATGACGAAACAGCTGTATGATGCAGTTTGATTCATTGCGTGGCTTACTGTATCTATCTCCAAAAATGTATTAAAAGGTGCTTTTCACCTGTGTGTCCTTTGTTCAATCATTGTGGCTACTAATGTACAAGGGCTCTTTCATGACGGTAGGATGAAAATCAAGAAAAATCGATTGAATTTTTGTGATATATTATCTAATTCAAAAGGTAATTTAACTTTGCAGTTCAAGAATCCAACGATTGGATAGGGCGTCGGCTAAATGGTCCTCCCCCTCCAAGGAAAGACACGTATGGAAATCGAGGGTATCCACTCCCACCAGTCAACAGCAAGAAGAAGAAAAAGAAACGAACGCCGATTGAAGAATCTACGGCACAGGAAGGGAAAGTGAACGCTCCAAGTATCCAAATTGATGAAGACTCTGAGAATACCGAAAAATGATCTGAATTATCAATGGTGGATTATTCCATAAAACAGTTAATGTAGACTCGTTGTATATAATGAAGCGCTTTGGTAGTTATTACCATTAAATCATTCTGTGTTTCACAGAATCAAATCCTTACACCATTGTGGTGAAATACTGAGAAAAGTGCTTCTTGATACAACAACTGTCTACCGTCTACTCTCATGTAGTTTTCGGAGAGTATGTTTAAAATATTACAAATCCTACATTTGACTTCGAAAATATCGAAAACAATCTATATGAGTCTTGATTTTGAAAGACAAATTTCCTGGTCATTAATATATATCATTCAACTGACAACAATGGATTATTGCAATTAAGGAAGAGCTTGGTTTCCATGTCCAAGACGTTTTCCACTGATATAATTAGCATTGGTTTCAACTGAAACAGATTGATCCCCGGCGAGAACGAGAGGTTCGCGTTGATTCAAGAAGCATAATTGCCATAGTCTTCTTGTTTGATCTCAAACATGAGAAAATAGAAATAAAGACATTCTTAGATGGTCTTAATGTATTTTGATTTACATCAAATGTATTGCATGTATTATTATTTATTAAACATTGAAGTATCAGTATCAGCTATATTTTCTGTATACAAATGTTTATTCATGAAAGATATATTTACAAACGAGATACTAATATTGGAAAAAAGAAAACAGAAGCGTTATGTTATATACTTACACTGAAGAAAATTGGTTCGAAATGGCCATACTTGTTCGATAATGTATAGACCAATATAATAGGACTCCATCTTACGAGCAAGGAGACAAGGTATAAAGAACGATAACTCTCAGTAAGTGCAATATGACTGGAATCAGTCATATGCATATCAAAATGCTTTCAATGTGATACGATTCTGTTATTTCTTGTAAGTGGTTAGGAATCTTATTTCGTAATAGAAACACAAAAATAATACATGATGTATTTCGGAAACATGGCACAATATTTTATACAATTCAAAGTGTACTTGTAACTACCATATAAACAAGCTGTCTCCAGGTTTTCAAAGTTTGTGCATGTTTGTGTGGAAAATGTATATAATTTGAAAGATCTTTCAGTGCCTTGGCAATTGAAAAAATATACTGAAACTTCAAAAACGTACATTTGACTGACATTAAACAGATTTTGATAAAAACGTGATTTAAGTGGAACAAGGAATAAAGCTTTCTTTTAATTATCCTTCCTGAATCGATAACAAGCGATATACATATTCCTAAATCACAGGTAATTTACAGACAATGGGGTGCTTTGTTCGATGTTCCCTACAAGTTGAGTTATTCATGCCCAGATTATGATGACCTCTTCAAAGTGACACTGGCTATTCACGGGGGAATAAACCCAGCAAATAGGCTATAATAGTCTCATTAAATACCCCAACTTTATAGTTTAAATTCCAAATAAGGCAAACGTAGTGACATATTCAGTTTTGTATATGCAATACACCACATTGAAACTATCAACTTAGTGTCATATCGAATTTACCATATACACTTGTACAATTATTATCTTAATCAACACTTATATGTCATCAATCAGAAGATCTATCAATTCATTTATCTTATTTTCAAGCTTTCATGTCCGCTGATGTTTGTAGATAAATATTCCACTAGGATTGATTTCATCAGCCAAAAGAAATTGCCAGTAATAGGTAAGCCGTATTGGTAACTGATTCATTAGTATTGGTTATGCTGTTTCCGCCTCCAGTTTTAATGGATATGATTTTCTACTTTCACCATCGTTCCTAGTATACGAGTTAATTATCCATTAACGTTCAGTTCCTAGTTTTCCTTTTTGACAGTTTGAAACATCATTATTTAAGTACACAGAATCAACTACAATACACAGATAACAAACAAAACATTTAGCTTTGCCTTTTAATTGAAATCCAAAACACACATACACATGATTGGAACAAATAGTGTTCAATTTAAATATCTACATGTGAAATTTAAAATGTACTTCCTATACTGCAGAGTACACAGTGCTGAGAACGATACGGAGTTATATGAAACATGAAACACTCCAAGAATAATGTCAATGACAGTGCACCTACAAAGCAAATTACAGGAAAGAGTGCTAACTGAAGAACATAGGTTTATCTTTGATATTATCTCTTGTTTGGCGGATTTTCAATTAATTAAAAATCAAATTGTTCCTTTATGAGATAAATGCACATAACTTTCATAATATGACGTGCACAGGAAATCATTTTACGGTAAACAACCTTGTGATAATAATAAATTTTTATACAATATCAACAAGAAAAACTTGCGTACAAACTTCATCATCTATTATCCTTATAGATTCGTATCCAAGACTAACCGGATTGACCAAAATTTTCATGGCGGTTTCGTCGATGAAGCAGAAATCGCTTACTCTTCTGGAACATGGTCTTCACAAAGCTTCGCCGTTTTCATACATTACGTTCATTATTAATCGTGGTAAACATATTAGGAAAAGTTATGTGGGTTTTTGTGGAATGAATCAAATCTTATTGGAATGTAACCTTAAAAGGGGGAGTATTTTTATAGTTTGCAACAAATATGACACAATAATAAGAAAAAAGCTACCAGGAATGTAAGGAAAATAGTCCGGATTTTAAGTTTTGGCCTTAAAATAATTGCAGAACAACGAATAAAGTTACTAAATGAAAATCACCCACGTTTTTATTGACAATCTTGTGAATGAATAATGATAAATTAATGAACAGGTGTAATGTGAGTTTGATCTTCCAAAATATATTCGAATATTACGGTTAATCATGAGATAAGACTGTTTTAGATTAACAAAGAGTGCTTCTCTAATAAGAAATTGTAATCAGTAGTGACATATCCGTTATACCTATACTAATTTTAAACTATAACCTCTTACCGAAAACAGGAACATGGATGTTAGGTATTTAGGAAAGTTGAGCGTTTCATTTACTTTTTGTAATCGTTCCGTATTTCATGTGTAACCAAAAAAGTGGAGACATTTTCTCCATACTTGATAAAGTTAGTAAAATAAGAAACCGTTATCAATATTCCTCGTAATGAATTATGTTGTATAATTGTAAGAATGATGCATTTTGATTAACATTAACTCACATCAGTAAATTGAAGAGAGAATCGCGTTCGCTGAATAAATCGGGGGCTCTGGGTTTCTAATCAAGAGAGATCACAGCAGAAAAAAATAATAAAAAAAAGGTTGAATATCTTGATATTATAGAAAAAGAAATATTTGTTTGTTTGTAATCATAACCAAGATCTGAACTGGATATAACATGTCCTTCTGTGTATGTTAAGAACCATTCTGGTGTATGGATCTCAGCTAAGGAATGCGTTTCGATTTTAAAAACGCAAATTCGTAGCTCACCTAAAATCAGCATATGTGACGTTCTTCATAAAAAAATGTTTTATAGTAAAAAAGGTTGTGCTTTAATGTGATCGCAGCGCATGTTTTGTAAAACAACTTTGTGTCATATCTAACTTATATGTAAGCAAGGACTCCGTGGGACTTTGAGGAATGGTAAGTACATGCTATATACAAATTGAGTTTAAGTAATTGTAAGCAAAACAGTAATTGTACCCTTGTTCTGGTAGGTATAAAGGACAAACGTGAAACTGTTGTTACATACATAGATATATGACAAATCAATAAAACTCTCATTCAGGCAACTTCAATATCAACAATCACAATGTTATCAGTTAATCTCAGCGTACAAATTAGGCGCTTCGACACATGTAAAAAATGCAGAAAAAAAACATATTTTATGGTATCATTGCCAATATAGATTGGCAGACAAGCTATTAATATGAAGCCAAGCAAATATACCATCTTAACCTGAACAATCAAATACAAATACAATAATATATTGGACAAAATTGTATAAACCATTCTCTCTTCCTCTTTCCAATCCATGCTTAGCATAAAGAGTCCACACTTAGCATAAACAAAATAATCTCAAGGAATATAAATATAGAGATTTGTAAATATTTTATAATATATACATACCTAACTACACTCTTAAGTTTGTACACACACAAAAAACACCATCCATTATAAAAAAGGAATCAGGGAGGCATCTTATTTAGTTAAATATATTGAAAAAAGGATACAAGATAATTCAAACATCTTGAAATCGAACATAAAAAGCGTATGTACTAAAAACGTGATAATAGTAAACGATGAAAAAACAAATAATGATTGTTTTAAAATTTTATTTACATTCTGTTTAACATTACCGGATATCCATCCCATCAATTCCTACAGCAGATGTGTGCGTCGATTCTAGGATATAATTGATTGATTAGATTTCAGTCATTTCGTAATTTTTACTCCTTATGAGTTCCCATATATGGATAAGCTTCTAAAGTAAAAAATAAAACATATAGATTGAAAGGGGTAAATATTATATTTTGATGTTATAACGAAAACTAACGTACTTGTTACTTATTCTTCATCAAGAACTTTTGATTTTTATAAAGTAGCTTCATGCAAAACAATGCTCCTTCGAAGTTGAAAATGGAGATAATTAATGAAATTAACTAGACAAATGTTACAATACTTCAAAAGTAGAAATTGGAACAAGCTTTAGGTTCAAATATGAATTAAGTTATTCCATGCAAAATAATTTGCATTGCTTCAATGTGAAATATTTACAAATTAATTCTATTAAAATTGAAAGTGAAAAATAACTTGTACATACTCGTAAGCATCGTCATAAATCAATTTTTCTTTGTTATCAAGGAATAGGTACCGACCAAAGAAGGACAGACATAAAATGACACGACACCATTATCACAGAAGTCATTAAAATGAAAATGACCGATTATCTCATAAATCATAACACAAGTCTTCTCTTTGTGCAGGTATGGAAAGCGAAACTGCACACCGAACGCGTCTGCATCGTTTCAATTTCAACAATTGGTTATATTTCAACTCGCCTTAAAGGTTATATTTATGTACGTCATTTACATAAATGTTCCACACCTCTAGGCCTTTTACCTCTGTTTTTCAATGTTGCAGTAATGACTTAGCAATAAGTATTTAACATAGCTAGAAATTAAAGAATCACGCCTGGTCTTCTTTATAGATAATAGTGTTTTCCCCAAAAAGAGGCGGGATTATGAAAATATTGAAATTTATCATTTGTAAGGAAGTTTACAACCTTAAGTTTGAAATACTAAATACATTTACGTAAGAATATACATTACGAAGACTTCTGTTGACACCCAGAGACAAATATCACATACGTTGTACAACCTAATAACCTGCCAACGTCTAAACGCATCACTTCCCTGCTACAACGAAGCACCTGTTTCCTTCTGCCAGGAAGAGTCTGCCATTACACAAAGTGACCGACCCATTAATACCATCAATTGGATTTGATGTATTCTAGCCGATTCAAGTCGTGTACAGTCGATTAGCTTGCATCCAAAACTGAAAATGATAAGAGAAATGTAATGCATTTTGAATATGTATGTCATCGTATGATCGCTTATGTTTATAAAACACAAGGCGGATATTTGTTGGTAGAATAAATTCATTGACAATTGTAGAAAAGATACTCTAGTGACAGGCACATTTCGACACAAGTTTAGAATTAGATAGTAATGGTGTAAACTGCATCTTACTTCTAGCTCATATCAGTGATGCTAGGAGGCTTAAAATTGTTATGCATAGGATGCACTTTTTGTGTCTAAGAATTTCCCTTAAATCTCAAGAGAACGTCATTATAACATATGAAGATATGTTGACACGAAAAGGCAAACGTGTGAAGTACGTTTAGGCTGGAAAAGTACATGACTCATTCATACTGGTAACATAGTCTAACATTTAATCATTATAAAATTGCAAACAACAAATATAATAATATTTATTGAAGCATTGATAAGCAAATCAAACAACATACACTCAACAATCTTCCGAGACGCCCCCTTTTCCCCATCGTATGCCCACCATATCTACTATCCTCTAATCCGAACGCCTTCTCTATATCAAATATCCATGACTTGCGCTTCGTCCGCTGCTGACCTTCAAACATTCACTTATGTCGTTTTTTTTAGAATGAATTCTTCCCTTAAATATGCTTCTGTCCGTTCTCTATCAAAATTGTGCTATGAAATATGCCTCTTATCTGTTCTCTCATACGCCTTCTTTTCCCACCGGTATCTCCATTTTACCTTGACATATATCCCAACATCTTTTTTCACAACTCCAGCCCAAGTACCCTCTCTAACATGCCCTACTCTTCCATATCCTGTTTCCCTCTTATACACTCAAATAAAACAAATATAACATTACTTGGCGTTTTCTCATTTTCCGCCTCGTTCTCGTCGTCGAATACATTTGTATCGTCTACGCCATTTAAATGTATACTGTTCGTATCAACACCATTGCCATTTGCCCCTTCATTTGATTCCTCGGATATTTTGGATTCTAGAACTCGAGAGTGGTGGGACGATTCCGAACGCCTCGCCAGATTTTTATGATGGGCGGCATAGTACTTTAGGAAAGATGTGATGCTCCTGCGTCCTTGCTGGAAGTATGATCGAATCGTATTGGAGTGTTATATAATATATTGGATAATATGAGACCAAATCATGAGATTATTTCTGGTACAAATGCGAAATCTTCAATATACCTTTGTGTAAAAACAATTCCCAAAGAGGTGGTAAATCAGTTCATTCAAAACTAATTGAATTAAAAATACATGAAAAAGTTAACAAAATGCGAAAAAAATTTCATCGAAGTCAACTAGGCAGATAATAATTGATGGTAATTGAGTTAAGTTCATGTCCAACATGAGATGAGATGTAGCTATATTTCGTTAAAATATTTACTGTAAAAAATTTCGGCAAAGACGAATGGAATAAGACTTTCATTTATTGCAGACACTGAAAAATTAAACTTAAACTGAGGAACTCTTCTTTAAAAAATCAATAGCTACTAATGTAACGCCTGACACGATACATTCTGTACAAAAACTTGATACTATTAGATAATTCAATTATGGCACCACATCTACAGACAGATTTCCTCCGTGTACATTATTTTTCTGAAGGCAATGAAGATATAAACTTCTTTCTGTGAACATTACTTAAAATAACATATTGTAACAGTCGATGCAAGGGTCCATATGGTTTCTTTATAACAACTCAGAAAATTGCTTGACTCAATGATCGAACAGAATAGTATGTGTTCTGAAGGCAAGGAGAATATTAACGTCTTTTGATTGGAGAACTTTAGTTTATTGGGAACTTGGTTTGAAAAAAGAAAAGTAAAATAAATCAATAAATAACATCATTTTATTTGAATGAATAGAAATCCACATTTTCGAGGAAACGTTTTCTGTCTGATGATTCTCTAAGTAAATCTGATGTTCATAGAGGACGCCATTAATTCTCTATTAGATGTTAAGTAAACTTTTAGCAACTACAGTTTCTATGAGATTATTTTCACTGTAGTTGTCATTAATACAAACAGTCTTACCAAGTAGTGGAATGTTTAATGCAGTTTGTGTTTGGTGAACTTCTATATAGTATGTCATCTTAAGGTATGAAAATGAACATCAAGCATCATCAAGCCGATTCACTTACAAAGAAAAATTCATCAGAAAATTGACATGACAAAGAACATGCCATGTATTTAAGCAGAAAATGTTTTTTTTTCTAATTATTTTATTGTACTTGGTACTTACTTCTACCACAAAGTCACGATCTCCATTCTCCAGCTTGAAATCGGATGTACCCACATGACCAGTGTTGATACCCACAGTTCGTTCGAGATCTTTGTCCTGGAAATGCAAACAAACGAAATTCAGTGTTTTGTATGTGTTCTGAGATTCAGAAACTGGTTTTACACGCATTGAAATGGTGCAAACGGTGATCAGTATCATTTTATTGTCGAAAAACAAGCAGAGGAAACTTTAAATAACTTCATGAACCACAAAGTCATAAACAATATGAATATTTATATTCGTTTAATAGTAGTAATATTTGGTCACTAAACGAGTATTTTAAAGCTGTTAAAAGCCACTGGTTCATGCTGAGCAGAGAATGCGTTTGTGCGATTAAAAAGCTACTACTAACATATCAAAATTGGTTAGATAATTTGTTTCAAAATTTAATGGAAAATTCGACCAAACACAAATCTTTAAGATAGCAGATGATAGACACTGCTGGTGGACTTTAAGCCCCCGAGGTTTGCCGTAACTTGTATGCCACGTTTAAATTCAATCGAATAGTGTCAGGGTTTAGAAAATACACTTGAACTTGATGCTATTCTAAGATTATCCGATGTATGAAAATTATGAAATTTATTTAATTGTAGAGTTGCTATAACCTCCCCGTCTATATTTTGACTTTTCTTGTGATCACTTTGAATTTTCCTTTGTCGCCGACTGAGCTTCAAAATTTAGTCCCTTAGTATCACTGACGAGTACTATAAGGACGAAACAGCTGAATGATGTAGCATCACTGACGAATACTAGAAGGACGAAACAGCTGAATGATGTAGTATCAATGACGAGTCCTAGAAGGACGAAACAGCTGTATGATGTAGTATCAATGACGAGTCCTAGAAGGACGAAACAGCTGTATGATGCAGTTTATTTCATTATTGGCTTTACTTTATCTTATTCTAAATTATGTAATGTTGCTATTCACTTGTGTGTCTTTTGTACAGTCTTTGACAACTGTACCTGGTATTGTAAAAAATGAATAACACGTTAAAGCATAAACGTGAAAGAGAGTTCATTACCAAACACATTACTATATCCTCAAAATACTTTGAACTATTAAAGAATCAACAGTGTCGTAATATTATAAACGTTGTGCTATCAACTAGTCATTTAAATCAGCAGAAGTCGGTCCCAAATGGACAATCATACCAACGGCTGAATTGAAGAACACCATGCTCACAGCATATCATCACCATTCTCTGATACACGAGACTCAAATAAACTAGATACACCAAGTTAAAAGGCGTATCATGACTCAATTTTAGTATTTTTTTTAGAATACTGTAAGTTATTTTTACCAATATTTTAAATTTCCAGTGTTATGTCATTAGCTCGAATGAAAAAAACAAATCTACAAGTGATGAAAAAGAATGTAAATTAGATCAATTTTATTTTCAATGGAATAATTTTGCCAATTTCATTTTAACCTGCGAAAACATGAAAAATTCCTGGAAAAATAACAATAATTACAGTATAAACTAATGATTTTATCTGTTGTATTGATATATACCTGTACAAATATCCGCTTCACATTGGTGAGAAGTGCGCTTTGCAGTGTATCAAAGAAAGACATGAGGCCGTCTATGTTTTTTCGCTGATATCCTATATACCTCTGTTGGAGAAACACTCCCGTGTTTTCTACAAAGTGTATGAGTTCATGATACTCAATCTGAAAACCAAATAAAAGAACAATTGAATCGGACGGCGTGTTATGGCTATTAAAATTCACCTCACGTGTTGTGTTTTTGTTAAAATTTCTGTCTATGTTAATTTTTTTCAGTTTTGTTAAATTCTTATTCACGTACCAATTTCACTTCCTTTTTGTGTATACCAATATTTTATATTCAACAGCAAACTGTAGACTTCATATTTCATTTGCAGAGCAAATTTAGTGTATAATTACCAAATACACGTCCAACCACTTCCCGTCGGTGAAAAAAACTTTACATAAACATTTACGTTTTGTCATTTCAAACTTACTATGATCACAAAAGAGCTTCATTCTGATGAACGTTTATAGAATCTTAGAAATAATGTAACAGTGAAACTGTCCGACTAAATATGTATTATACGCGATGAAAAACACAACGACAATGTTTTATTGTTTTGGGAAACACGATCACACTTCTAAATATGTCTGAAAAGATTACACTTGCTTCAAGTGCTAGTTGTTTCATTTATTTTTGAAGGTGTGAGGAATTTTTAATGAACACTTACAAAACTTTTGATTTACAAATTTCATTGACCAACATTTTCACGTCACGGATTCAACAAATTAAAGTCAACTTTAGTGTACAAGAAGAAATAATTGTCTTGAAAACGTACTGTGTAACAGTCACATTCTATAAAAAAAACGAAAATCTTTCATTTCTGTAGATCATATCCAATATCATATATTTCTCTACCTCTCCATCATCATCCTCATCTAAAAGTTCAAACGCCTTATGGACATCGTACTCCTTTCCAAACAATATTTCAGCACTTTGTTCAGAAAATTCATCCTGAAAAACAAAATAATTGAATGAATGATTTAATTCATGGAAAGGTGCTTGTATTTGGGATTATTTTACGTACTTAATACGAACAACATATTACTATGTAAATATCCAAAACCAGTTTGAACTTTGAAGTGTATCTGAAGTCTCAAAGGAGCATGTTTTTCAGGCCAAATGTATTTTTTTTCACTGTTAATACATATTCTTTGTGAAGTCGAATCTTTCTCGACTTTAAACATCAGTCATTTGCTTGTATACAGAGAAGAAGGCAATGTCTGAGATTATTGGAAATTTCACTGCAAATCCTGTGATCTGGTCTGTCAAAAATGAAAAAAAAAACCAAAATGTGTCTTTTTCATTCAGAGGAATTGCAAATATCATTGATATCTTTGGCGTAAACCTCATATTTTACGGCGAACGTGTCATGAAAATAAATGTTTTGTCAAAACTAACAATTACAAAACATATTTCATATCTACACATTTAAAACAATAACGATCCCATGCAAGAATACGTTGTATTTAATAATGAATTAAACCTCCATCCGCTCTATAAAGACGAGTGGTAACATGCAATGTTTGGAAAAGCATTGGCTGGTTTGTTCAGTAAGTCATACAAAGTAAAACTATAATATATAATCAAAAACATTTCTTACATCTTTGTAAAGACCAGTAAAATAAGAAGGCAATATTGTAAAATATCTAAAAACTTATCACAACAGTTGTAACTGTAATTGTTGAATCAAGCAACTAAACTTGTATTAAGACTATTAAGAGCGAGATAGATATTACTTACATCTGCAAACGCAGCTTCAAGTTCAGACTTGTTAATAGTGCCTCCTCCGTCCATGTCATGTTTCTGTAGCACCTACATCGAGATCAAAATCGTTTAGCTGTATATCAATGTCATGTTTCTGTAGCACCTACATCGAGATCAAAATCATACAGCTGCATATCAAATACGTTAACGCATAACTGAACCTGTCAGCTATTGTGACGTATTTTAGGATCATTCGGCTATGCTTTAATACTTAGTATTCACCAATACATTGCGATGTTACTAATACTTTACAGAAACTTTCAAATACTCATTATTACACTGTGATCTCACACAAAGTGAATAAAACATCTACAATGTACCATATTGCCACAAGTTTATATAACAGGTGAAACTGTCCGACCGCATGGAATCAAGAGGAAAGGTGATTTATTTGTCCCAAAATTAGGTAATGTAGTTAGGTATTTCGATTCCTGACCAAAATGATATAACAAATATTTTTATCACTCGTTGAATTCATACCATCAGTTAGATACATCACATTTTTTTCTGAATAATTTAAAAAATTGACAAAACGACGAAGGTCATAATCAGTACTCGTTAGAAAGCAATTTAGATTCTTATACGACCCGAAGAGCCAGAAAGGTCAGAAGAGTTCTAAACAAAGTGAATATTTATCTCAATTGACTCTAAAATGCCGAACATACAAGTGGTAGTACAGAACAATGGCTGTTTAAAGTCTGTAATAACTACCTTTATATCCCACGTGAAAATCATCTGGTCTGTGCTTAATATGAAAAGGTAAACTCAACTAATTACAACAGTCTCTTATTATAACAGAGAACGCCCATAATTAAATACAAACATGGCGTCTTTAATACAAAAATCCGGCTGGGAAATTATTTTTGCTTAAGTTGTCTCTTTTACCCTCAGAAATTCGTTGACTGCTATCGTCACGCGTCTGTGCTCTCTGTGTACTGTCTCCTGTTGTTTCTTTTCTTCTTTCTTCTTCCTATAAAGTGTTTAAATCAAAATATAAGATGTATATGGACAAAACATTATCATAACTGTGCTCGCAGTTGATGGATGGCTGTAACAGATATTTAACATGTATTAAGATAAAAGGTTTTTATGTAATGTAACGAGTCAGTCATGCCAAGAATCTTGATTTTGAAAGACCAAAACCAATTATACACAATTAGGCTCCGACGAAAACTTGCATATGGAATTTGATAATGGTGTAAACACAACTTATAGATATAGCAAAAACTGTGTGAAGATTTTAAGGACAGACGAATCATGGGTTACGGACGAATCATGGATTACGGACGAATCATAAATTACGGACGAATCATGGTTACGGACGAAGGGGTATTGGAACAGCACAATGTAAGATAATAGTGATCTAAGTAGGAGAGTCTCAACGCACTGTTATATATTTCCAATTATTTGGTGCAAGTTTCCATTGTTTACGGCTGCCGTTGCGAAGAATCAGCAGTATACACTTTAATACTGCTCAATGCACTTTTCATCTGAGAAGATATCACTTTGAGAGTATCTTCATGTCGCACCTAAAAAAATTGTTCAGATATACAAATTGATGGGTTAAGATTTAAACCTTACCTAGCAAGTTTTGTATTAGGTAGCTCTGCCAACTGCGTTCCTATTCTTTGTTCCATCAGAAACCGGAACATCTCGTGTTCAGAATCCGCGTACTGAAACAGAAATGTATACTTAGTATTTCAAAACTATAAATAACAACAACCATCATGATATTACATATGCTTACTAAGGTAGAAAAATGTTTAAATCGGAAAAAGTTGTCCAAGGGTAGCTCCCACATAAACAATATTACTACGTAATGCAACAGCGACAAAAAAGATTATGTACCAACAAAATCAACGCATTAGCGTAACTTATTGGATATCAGGGAAGACATATTGTGTTTATATCAAGCCGTTTTGAATTAATGAATTATTTTTACAAATAAAACTAAGATCTTATTTCAAATGTCGTGGACAGCTTCTACAGATGAGGAAAAACATTTCTGAACTCTATATTTTTAAGACTCCAACAGGTTTAGCAAAAAACATGTCGCATTTGGACAGAATACAGGCATTTCTACAGAAAATAAAGACAATTAATGGATTGTTCGTTTCCCCCGTTAAGCTCCGCTCTTCCCGCGCTTGGGGCATAGATCTAACTGGTAAAGAAAATTGATTCTTATAATCAAAGATGCTTAAAATGATGCTCTCTCGCGCCTGTTGAGACCCTCTTCTCCAACATTTATACAAATTCGGTTTCCTTCACTTAGGCATGCTTCATGCTAAAATGGGACGAAAATCAGGCTTTCCTACGGAAGAAGAATGATTCTAAAGTATTTGCTAAATTGTTGTGCCGTTCCTGAGACCCCTTGCAGCCTAGAACCACCATTTATACAAATTTTGTTTCCCTGTCCCGAAGGATGTTCCTGACAAATTTTGTCTAAGTCCGTTCAGTAGTTCATGACTAGAAATGAAGTTTCTTGATAAGTTGGCGGACGATGGACAGAAGCTCATCGAACCTTCGGATCAGGTGAGCTATTAAAAAATATCGACCACATGTTAAGCAGTAACAACAAAGCAAATTAAACTATAATAGAAAATATTAATTGTGGTTCCGTGATCATAACAATAAGTACATGTAACCGTTTGGACGTTTACAGCGGCCACTGCTGTCATACTGTAAAATATCATTTTCATTCTATATTTAAAATGTCAGCGAATTCTGCAGTTATATGGCTTTTTGAAACGATAATAATAATGAGTAATTATGAAAAATTGCAAGATTTGATCCGCCCTTCCCAAGCTGATACGGTGAAGTATGTTTACAAAAACACGGAAGTCGATAGCAATTAGTTCAATCTCGTACTGATATAAGAAAAACATTTACATCATTAATTGTAGATAAGAATAGAACACGCTTAGTATAGACATATCACTGAGTACACTGTTAAAGAGTAACATCCTGTGTACCTATCTCATCTGACGAGAACAGATAAACCTCAGTAGGATATGCAATAGTGATCGGCGACCGAGTGGAATGCTATGGAGACTCGTTGATGCATTAATAACTCGACAGCCGTCAGGAATTGTTAAAATAGAGCTGAATATTATATATCAACCCATTATGTAACAATGACACTTTATAATGTCACAACTGACACTGAAAAATTTTAAAATTTTGTCTCAACTCATCAGAGTGGAAGAATTTTTTATATCACGAGTTTTATCCTAACCACCATCAGCACTGTTCCTGCAGAAACACATGTGCTGTGGAAACTTTGCCCTACAGATCACGCCACCTCATAGACAACACAGGAAACATATTGTAACATATTGTTGATTCACTGAATCACATTTGGTATGTACATGAGCAGAAATAACGGTGCACACATTTTTAACACATGTACTCACGTCCCAATGTTGTAATAGTCTAAGCATACCTTCTATATAGATTAGCACATACACACACACCTCTCCTCTCTTCAATAACCTCTCCTCTCTTAACAATACACACCTCTCCTCTCTAGTCTAGTTACATAACACACACTCTCTAAAGTTAACACACACACACCTCTCCTCTCTAAAGTTAACACACACACCTCTCCTCTCTAAAGTTAACACACACACACCTCTCCTCTCTAAATAGTTACACAATACACACCCCTCTCCTCTCTCCTCTCTATAGTCTAGTTAACACACACACACCTCTCCTCTCTAAAGTTAACACACACACACCTCTCCTCTCTAAAGTTAACACACACACCCCTCTCCTCTCTATAGTCTAGTTAATACACACACCCCTCTCCTCTCTATAGTTTAGTTAATACACACACCCCTCTCCTCTCTATAGTCTAGTAAACACACATACCCCTCTCCTCTCTATAGTCTAGTTAATACACATACCCCTCTCCTCTCTATAGTCTAGTTAATACACACACCCCTCTCCTCTCTATAGTCTAGTTAATACACACACCCCTCTCCTCTCTATAGTCTAGTTAATACACACACCCCTCTCCTCTCTATAGTCTAGTTAATACACACACCCCTCTCCTCTCTATAGTCTAGTTAATACACACACCCCTCTCCTCTCTATAGTCTAGTTAATACACACACCCCTCTCCTCTCTATAGTCTAGTTAATACACACACCCCTCTCCTCTCTATAGTTAATACACACACCCCTCTCCTCTCTATAGTCTAGTTAATACACACACCCCTCTCCTCTCTATAGTCTAGTTAATACACATACCCCTCTCCTCTCTATAGGTTAATTAATACACATACCCCTCTCCTCTCTATAGTCTAGTTAATACACACACCCCTCTCCTCTCTATAGTCTAGTTAATACACACACCCCTCTCCTCTCTATAGTCTAGTTAATACACACACCATAGTCTAGTTAATACACACACCTCCTCTCCTCTCTATAGTCTAGTTAATACACACACCCCTCTCCTCTCTATAGTCTAGTTAATACACACACCCCTCTCCTCTCTATAGTCTAGTTAATACACACACCCCTCTCCTCTCTATAGTCTAGTTAATACACATACCCCTCTCCTCTCTATAGTCTAGTTAATACACACACCCCTCTCCTCTCTATAGTTTAGTTAATACACATACCCCTCTCCTCTCTATAGTTTAGTTAATACACATACCCCTCTCCTCTCTATAGTTTAGTTAATACACACACCCCTCTCCTCTCTATAGTTTAGTTAATACACACACCCCTCTCCTCTCTATAGTCTAGTAAACACACATACCCCTCTCCTCTCTATAATTAATTTAATACACACACCCCTCCCCTCTCTATAGTTTAGTTAATACACATACCCCTCTCCTCTCTATAGTTTAGTTAATACAATTAATCGGTACGTAAACATCTTGACGATCGCTTCACACCCATTTCCCCTACCTGTAAAAACATTCCATTTGTAAAGGAATGCTACCTCACTGTTTGTACAGTCTATTACGGGCAAAAAGAAGTCCGCGCTAAATATACCACAGGGGCAATATTTTAAATCTGTTTTTCAACCCGGTGATTTATCGACTGAAGAGGTCACACTATGGGCACTGAGTCACAGGTGAATGGATAACTCAAGTTTTCTTACGATATAAAGTATCCTTTTACATTCTTTTCTCGTGACCCAGCAATGTACGATGATCTTAGACGCTCTACACAAGTTGGTCATATATCTCCACAGCTCTCTCTCTCTCTCTCTCTCTCCCTCTCTCTCTCTCTCTCTCTCTCTCTCTCTCTCTCTCTCTCTCTCTCTCTCTCTCTCTCTCTCTCTCTCTCTCTCTCTCTCTCTCTCTCTCTCCTCTCTCTCTCCCCCTCTCTCTCTTTGTCTTAGATGATTAAAAAAATCACTAACGCTCCTTTTTGATCATCCACAGTTTCCGTCCGCTTCACCCCTCTGTCAGTACGGTAAGCTTGACAGGCAACGGGGCCAAGAATTAAGTAATCAATACACTACTTTTTGACAAAAATACACCTTCACATGAATCACAGAAAAAAACTTTTAATTCTTAAGTTTCAGGACAAACAGATCACGGATGTAAGACGTTTTTAAAGTCAATCATCTTACAGCTGTGTGCCACAATTATGAATTTATTATTCATAATTATATAACTGATACAATTAGGTAAAATAACATTATATTTTCAATATATGTAAACATATTCTAAGAATTCTTAGCGAACTAGTGTTTGAAATTTAAAATGTTTAAATTGCTTAAAGCCCCAATATACGTAACATTTACCAAAAATTCAGTGTAGAATCACACATAATTATTGAGATATTCTCTAAAATGTAGTTAAAATTAAGTTATTCAAACAATAGTTACCATGACTTTGTGCATAAAGTATTGATATATGAGCAGTTGAAACTCGCTATTTGTAAACACACCTCCATTTTAAACACGCCGCCATCGAAATTACGATTGTTGCCGAACGACGTCGGAAAGTTCATGACCTGATCTCGCGAGAGTTGAGGTTTCTACTTATAGAGGAAGCACATGCAGATATGTCTACGGTAATTTTTTGTTTACAAACATTGTTTGCGAAGTCTTGAGGTATTCCTGTGATAAACATTCAGTTTTTGGGAAATTATTAGAAGGAATAATTAGTTTAGAAACGATACGACGCACAATTATAACGTAAGAATTCAAAATTGGCCTGATGTATGATTGGAAAAAAAGAAAGCGACTGGTGAACGTCTGTACTGTGTCTGCCATGTTTACACACGCGGAATATGCGCATGCGCAATGTCATCGCTACGAGCGGTAATGTATGAATTATTGTGGGTCCCACATTGTTTATTTTCCGACTTTTTCAATTTGTATTTAAATAAAAAACAGTCAGTTTTATTTTCTTTAATTAAAAGAAAGTATCTGTTTTGTTACATATATTACGGGGAAAATAAGATAAAGTTTGTTTTTTATAGTGATTTTTACGTATATTGGGTCTTTAGTGGTTTTGTTACATAATATCATATATTGTTTCTTACCACAAAGGTGAAGGTATATATATCATAACCAAATCTTTTGTATAATCGCAGCACATGTCCAAATTCGATAATAGTCGTATTTTTGGTATTAAGATTGCTGGTAAAACATCGTGAGAGAAATAAGTCATCACTTACCAGCAGAAAACCCAATGTCTTTTCATTATGATCACCGAATCTTTCTGACTTGGCAAGCTTTTTTGGTAGGTCTTCCAATGGCTGCAGCTTTTGCAGAAAGCTATCGCCTGGTTTCATGGACAGCCACCAACCTGTTACAAAGACAATTATATGTGGCATTTTAATGACACAAGAAATCAGTATAACTGAGTTATTATGTTCTAATAAATTTATCATCAAACTATCATAAAACTGATGTGGAATTTTAATATTATGTTCTAATATATTTATCATCAAATTATCATAAAAGTGTATGAATGCAAACTGCTGTTCTCACGTATGTGGAATTTTAATGACACAAGAAATCAGTATAACTGAGTTATTATGTTCTAATATATTTATCATCAAACTATCATAAAAGTGTATGAATGCAAACTGCTGTTCTCACGTATGAATTTTAATTTCATTTATCCAGCTTTCAGAAATGTACGTAAAAAATAACGTGGAACGTTGAGCTTAAAATTTATGTATAAAATGCAAACATTTCTAATGGTTAAGCGTCTTTACAAGAAACATGGTCATGTGAGGTCGGGTATCAGGAGGGACAATATTAATGAATAAAAGTAAAGCAAAAACAGAAGACAGGAAAGAAAAAATACCACGTGTTGTAGTTCGGCTGTAGATCTATTTTGATCTATTCAATGTACTCTTTAGAATTAAACTTCGTTTGTTTTATATCAACTGCAAAATAAGTTTTTATAACTTAAATTGATCACTCGTTGAAACGGATGGAATTGCGAAAGGGTTTTTACTATAGCGGAAGCAGGAATGCCCGTGGGAAACCCACGTGGTCGGACAGATTACCCAATATCATACCGAAAATCGAACACCGGACCTCTAGGTGAAAGACGAGCGCGTTACCACTGCGCCACTCGACCACTCTATGCAATGCAATGTCCCCTGATTGTAGATATGGTAGAAAACACCTGACTCTGCAGGGACCTACTGGTTGTCGCCTTGCAGAGGCAGACAAATACAGCAGACAATGGGTCAGTTGTTATGACCCAGATTCAAGACAAGGCATTTGTTTCAATATGGGCTTAGTCTTATGTTTCACGTACACATATCCATGAAATCTCATCAAAATACATTTCAGATGATTTATAAGAATCATGAAAAAGATTCAAAGATCTATCAGTCTATCAGACATGTACACCTGGATTTCCATGTGCATACATCAAGTCATAAGTTATAACCATAACAAGAATTTTGGTAGGGACAGATCGGAGATGAAATGGCGGATGTGAGACGATATAAAATATTTGTTTATCAAAATATAGTATGGAAAGCAAAATATTCGTTTTTAGAAGAATTTGTTTCCTCTTACAAAATTTGGGTCATAGTGCATCAGTATCGTTGATGGTGGGATAGTCAAGTGTTTGTGTTATTGTAAATCTATGTAGTATTAAGGGCTGTCGTATTAGGGGCTGTAGTATTAGGGGCTGTCGTATTAGGGGCTGTCCCTAAATGTGTCATAACCGTATCTCTTTACTACCCAAATGCTAGAGGGAATTATCACATAAACATTTATATTTTTCTGTTTTTATCGTCTTGTGACAGCCAGGGTCACTTGAAGCTGGTCTCCTTGTAGTTATTGATGCCTGTCACATGCTATCCAGAGCAATTCAGTTGAAGTGTCTCTCAAAAGGACACAACCACGATAGTGCAGACCCGTTTGTTTTTCAATTTCCTGAGAAACACTAACCTCCACGGCTAGTGTCGAACCAAGCACCTCGGATCTTCACCCGGGCATACGTACCATGTAGACCAACGCCCCACGCTCATTTCTGAATAATTTCGAACCGGAATATAAGAGCACGACGCCAACATACGTAGTATGAACAGTTTAAAAAGGCAAATCGATCCTATATCTAATCTGCTTAAAATCAAGTATAGAGTCATCATAGCAGGATGTAGTTTATTACCCGATGTCCCCGCCGACAGATACTGACCTACACGTGATCAGTACGGATGACTTATGACGTATTTTTATTCAAGACCAATTTTTTAAAATTAAATTGATCAGTGTTTTTTTCAATTTTACCTAAAACATGACTAAGCAGTAGGCGGCAGTGTAATGTATTCATGTAATCTATTTCAAATATTCAGATTTATAAAATCTCATATTACGTCACCACTACATAGCAGTTATAATCTGTCATCGTTACAGTAGGAGAACACACCAGATTTAATCCAATGTTAATATCGTTGAATATAAGTAAATTTGTTTCAGAATGTGGGTGTTTCAAAATAATTGTTCAAATATTGACATGTCTATAAAACAACTCTTCATGCGTGAATAATTTCTTTTAGTGATAAAATACTTCGTAATTCTATCCGGGACATCGGTTGACATGTTTGATCTACGTCACTGGTTTCATAAATACAATATATATGTAATATTTGAACAACTTAATCAGTGTAACACACAGGTGCCTTTTTCGCTTGGTATTTTTTCTTGAGATCACCTTGAGACTTACTTACTTATAAATGGATTACGTATCGTTGATATACACGACAGAGATAATTGTCATGTTCACAAATTCCATGTTAAGAACTAATAACAAAGTCATGCCTCATTACCATGGCCGGTAACGGCGAGGGTTAATTTTAAGGCTGAATAAAACCACATTGGAGACACTGTAACCGAAATCACTCGATAAAAAGCCAATTCATGGGTATCCAAACTTAGTACTAGCTTTGTTACTGAAAAATGGGTTTAAAAGTTTCAAACCTCTGTCGGCAAGAATATTTCAAAATGTAACTATCATTTTCGAAGAGTGTTAAAATCAAAACCAATCACCAAAGATTTTCTACAGGCCAAGCGTTCCTTCTTATTTCGCTATAAATCAGGGACAAATTCTGCTGAAATAAATGCTGATTTGTTACTGATGGAAGGCTCGGCTTAATAAAATTCGAAGTACGATAAAAAGCTTGTGTAAAACGTGCATCATTTATAAAAGCAAACATAATTGCAAAATAAAAAAAGGAATATTCAGATTATATTCGATTCGGGCAAAATAACGAGAGTCAAGTATTGAATTAATAATGGAATTCAATCTGATACCGGCCTTGACCTTTCGACAATGTCGGTTGTAATAAAACATTTCATCGCAATGAACGTTTTCAAACAGCTGCTTCATCCCGAAGGAAACCAGAATAGAAGGAGATCCAATTAGAATTGACTCGAAGCAACTGCAGCAAATGAAGCAGGAATAAGAACGAAATGTTCCAAAACCTACTTGTACATAAAAATATTTGTACAACTAACAGGAAAAAATGTTTTTTTTACATTTGCGTTAGTTTGCTGAAAAAAATGGCGACGATTTTGAAGTAATAAAACTTCAAAGTAGCTTCAAAGTACACAATTATTACTCATATTGCTCTGTGTCAGTTAATCTTACCAACACCATGATTGTAAAGCCAATTGATGTGTATTTTGGTAGTAGATGAAGTTATAGAATATGACGTAAACTTGTTTTAAGCAATGCAATCCAACTTCCTGTCAAACAGTAATTAAAACACGTGTGATCGAGTTTAAAAACCAAGGAAGAAAATACCGTCATATTGACATAATGTTAACTTAAATACATATTCGACGGGCAAAATATGACCAAAAGAAAGGTTTACGAGGAAATTCTTGAACAAGTACAGGAAGAATAAGACCGGGTGTTCCGGAAGAGTAAGCGTATTCAGCTTCATCGGAGATGACCTACAGGAAAATCTTGGTCAATCCAAGCAAGTAATGTCATGTTGACAATTGAGAACAAGGTAAACACCAATTGAACCAATAGCCAAACTAACGAGCATAGAACATGTCCAGCTTTATATCGGACACGGAAAAGGAAGATTTCAATACAGGGTCGTTTAAAAGAGAACGTTTTCATTGCAATGGTTTATTCAGGCTTCAAACTGAGAAACACATGCATGACATATTTTTAAAAAGATGCCTTACCATCAAAGCAGTGCACGGGATAATTACAAAGGACTCCTCCATCAACATACAAATTTGTTTCACCGTTCACTGTGTAGGGCGTAGCCTTGAACATACCTAAAACGAACGAATATCAAATCGTCATCATGTGCATTTGAGAAAAAAACGCAGTACTTCCGGCAAAAACATGAACAAATATTTTTAAATGAATCAGATTCAATGTTATTATAAATGTAGATATTATCATATGTGGCAAGAAAGAATATGAAATGGAAAAAAAATCTGATTGAAATACTAACATATTTGTCTTTTCTGTGACTACCTGCTGTAGTCTATCCCTAATGAGTTGAGGCAGTAGACATTATGTCATTTATAAGTAAAACAAAACGTATATGTAAGCAGGGAATTCTAGGCTTGTTTCTTTAATGTGTGTTATTTAAAGCCAATTCTACCTAATATGGTAAATCATTTTCATAAATCAGCAGGTTCACTCGTTCTGTTCAGTTTTATTTCTGTGTTCACATATACTATAGTGTCATTTAGAATTCGCGATTCCTTTGACCTTTCCTGTCAAATGTTAAATATTGCAAGCATGGAGGAGTACCCATCAAGAACGTATCAAGAGTGCGCCAGTAGTCGTAAATGGGAAATATATGCATTCAAGCTGAACGTTACACAGTTTACAGGGCCAAGTGATATGTCTTCAGCTTGTTTGATTTATGCCCGTCATGCAATTTCAAATTCACAAATTAGTTACGTCGAACAGAACACCTGCTTCCGATTTATTTTACTGTTGGTACACGCTATTACACTAAGCTTTTTATGTCGCTACTGAAAAGGGCACGGGATAAACTTAAAATAACAAGAGATATTTTCCATTTTCACTTGCTTGGGGATTTATATTAACTAATCGATTTCGGGATTAGAATATTACTAAAGAGACCATGTTGGTATAATTTTTATCAAAATGTAATAATAATACAATGTTCATGTTTCTATAATGGACAATGGAATTCTTAAAATGAAACCCAAATGTAAATATTTTTAAAGAATTATTAAACTTTTTATATGCCTTCCTGTTCGTGTCTCGAAACATGACTGCAGACACAAAAAATATTAAATAATTTGTAAAAGAAAAAAGGAATTGCAATAATGATAATTTGAATACAGTAAGATTCCTGTACAGAATGCCTCAGAATCTGGGTATAGTTTTGGCAGTGTATCTGAAATCATGATAAAAGGAAACAGTAAGCCTTAAATTGCTGAATTTTGTATGGTTGGATTAGTGCTGAAAAATGAAATTTAAGAATTACCCGGTATCGACATCGACATGCGCACGGCTAACCGTATAGGCATATCCGGTGTAGTTTTTGGGTGACAATACTCCTCTGTCATATGATTTAGATTTGTCACCACAACACATAGCTCCTTATTGAATCTTTTATCACGATAAAGCTGAAAAAGATGAACACATCTTAGAATGAGAAACTAGGAAATGTCTGCCAGACATGAAATTATCTAATTTAAGGCATGTTGAGGCGTTTTAGATTTAACATTAAAAAATTGTAAACTCCATTAGTTGTGAAAAAAATCAATAAAGCACTTTACTTGGTTCACTTTTAACGCCGTCAAGAGATCAAGCATCTATACACGGTAAAGTTCAGAAAAAAAAAACATGGATAAATTTAAGAAACTGGGGTTTCCTGTGTGATACATACAATACTTTGTTTTCATAATGCCAGTAACCTTGACCTTTTATCTCTGAAATTGAACGATATTTAAGGTAATGAAACATATAAAATAAGAATATTAGATATAAAACCTACCTCCCCGAAAGTTATATCTGGATCGTTAGTTTTCTTCTTCATTACAGTACCAAACCACTCATAGATTCGGTTTCCTGGGTTCCAGCCATAACCGCTTACCAAGTTAGGTAACAGACTTAAATACCCAAAAGATGCGTCTGAAAATTGGAAATCATACTTGTACGATTCATCAATAAAAAACGGAAATAAACATGAGTTACAACAATGTTGTAGATAAAAGCTGTAACGATGACACGGTAAGGTCATTACATAAAACACTTCAAAAAGCTTCAATTCCAACCAACAATGCGGAGGCGTAGAACAGTTGTCTCGGATCTATCAAAAACTGTGTTTTGTTTCTTTGGTGCAAAAACTTCTTCAAGAAGGAAATATTTAATAATTGTGTAAAATGTCAAATTGTTGCTATAACCAGGAAACACAAAATATTTCTTATCATATAAGGCGAAAACCGGAAGTCAAAGAACTGCCGGAAATTCGTGAAATAGACACTAACATTTTGATGACTTTGGAGACAAGTATGTAATTTTTTATCATGTAGGACTGAACGAAAGCTGTTGAAATTGCCGTTTTTATTTCTGAATCAACCAGAGCACAACGTTGATGTCAATGATGTCAGAAATGTCTATATACATAAAAGCCTTCAAAGTATCTGTTACAACGAGGACGAAAACTACTTTTCATTGGTCTATCACATTACAATATTCTTGGAATGAATTCATCAGTTATCAGAAGACGTTAAAATCGTTTGAAATATAGTTTTTTTGTCAGATAATTTGTTCCATATTGAACATGAAGCATAAACAACAAAGTTTGAGATGCTTATATGCAGTAGATTTCATAACCTATAACACTTCCCGTCTTTTTCACGAATTCTTCATCTTCATCTACACAGAACTAACCCCGAACTACGTCCACCATGGGTAACGTTAAATATATAGAACAAATTTGTACATAAAACAACAAACCAGGATTTCCTAATTGCTTCAATTTTGCGTTCGTCATCAGATTGCGATGTAACATTAACCGAACTACTAGGCGATGTTTAAGACATGTTTGTGACTCCTATGAGAGCCCTAATGTTTACTGAAGTACGAGGATACACGAGTAAATATCCTTTTACACACATTAAACAACCTTGTGCACTAGGAGTTTCCTGATGTAACAGTTAATACTAACAGTACGTTGCCATGGATTTCTAAACAGTATTTATTCCTTTGTTGTGTGGTTTACATTTCTCTAAAACTTATATGATCATGTACGCGAATTTGCACTGTACCTTACATCAATATTTAGATGCAGTCTTTTGATGAAAGGAATGAGATGAAATAATTTTATTGGAAACTATTCGTTTTCGTCGTGGGATGCGATGTGTTTAGCGCACCTCCGTATATCTGGAGGTTTCATTATCAATGCCCCTGTTCACTTTTGGAGGGCGTGACATTAAATAGATCTGACCAGAATTAGCATGGCGATGGTCGATAATGCTTGATCACATTTTCAAAAAATCCGTTTGATTTTTTTCTACGATTTTGAAGATTTTCTTGAATAAATACTGTAAAACAGTTTTATGACGCCATCTGATCCCCTTACACAGCAAACTTAAGTATGATTATGAACTGTTAACTTTCCATATTTATATTTTTATAGAATTTTCTACAGTGCATGACAGTTCATAACCGATTGATTTATACAGCAAGATGGTTACGTAACAACGACAGATTTAATTTCTGTGCAGGATATCCTTAGAATTGTTCAGGCTTGTTTGTATGGTTAACGACCCTCTTGTGTCACATTCTAATTGTCTTATAATCAGTTATTTTGAAATCTTGCCATCAACTGTGATAACAACGGAAACAATTTTGTTTCATTCTAATGGCAAATTATTTACTTTAGTTTTTTAGATATTAGATTGAAAAAAAATACATTAATAGAATATTGTTGATAATCCCACTTGAAGTGAAAACGATATATGTGTGGGAGACACAAGTGTTGGGAGACCACCCACGTTGTCAGATATGTGATCTATATCACCTTCACACGAGATCCTTCCCACTGATACTGCAGGTTTAAATTCGGCCATTCAATCACAACTGAATGAGTGCCCCATGTCTCTAGAACTCTGAATAAATCACACCTGTATATTTCATGGCATTTAAGTAATTTTCTAACAAAATCTTTCAGCTGAGAATTCCGAGTTATAAAACATCAAAACTCAATACGTAATTACAATATTAAGCTATATATTAAAGTGATGTTAATGTGAAATTCAATTCTAATCAAACTTGACAGGTAGAAATAGGTTCAGTGTGTATTAATGTGACATTAACGAGGCATATAAGATGTGACAATACCTAGGAAATAGTGAGAAAGGTCTTGGCTCAAGAATTCTTCTATTTCATAAGAATTGTATCCGACGGCAAGCAGAGCCGCTGTCATGGCGCCTGCACTAGCTCCAGCCAAACGTTTGATTTTTGGGAAGACTCCTATCTCTTCAAGGACCTGCAGAAAACATGTCAACAATGATAATTCACTTTCTACACCACTGAAAAAAAACCATACAAAACTTAATTATCCTTGAAAATAAGATTTTATCCCTAAAACACATAATATTGACTTTTCCGTTTTCGTGTTAATGTTTTTTGTAATGAGTTATAATTCATTTAATTATTCAACCTATTTCACAATTTCGTGGTTTTATTAAATATACCACCCAGAAATATATATACTGTGATCTCGTTCACTTGCCGAATAGTTTACACAGAAAATTGATTTAAGACCATTTTTTAGAATATTTTGATGTACACAGTGGTGGAATTAGGTAAAAATTCCTTTAAGTGACTTATGAAAAGGATGTAGTCTGTAAATTAAAAAAAAATGAAATCATTTCAAGTTTCCAAAAACGTAACAAAATATACTATTGAATTGAATCATATGATGGCACAGCTCGGAAAATATTCATGTGCTTGAAATTCTTCCAATTTTACTGAGCTTCTGTTTCATAGGAAATCAAAACGAAATTCAACTATTGTTGATAAAATATCAAAACAAAAATTGATGACAAACATGAAATCATTATAAGAAAACAATACATTTGCGTCATTCATTTAATGACCTCATGAAGTTGTGACGTGATAATTATATCACCCCCTGATAGCATATCTAACTCCGAAGTACATAACCAACTCCTCATATCATACCCAACTCCTCATAACACACCAAACTCCTGATAACATACCCAACTCCTCATAACACACCAAACTCCTGATAACATACCCAACTCCTCATAACACATCAAACTCCTGATAACATACCCAACTCCTGATAACATACCCAACTCCTGATAACATACCCAACTCCTCATAACATACTCAACTCCTCATATCATACCAAACTCCTCATAACATACCCAACTCCTGATAACATACCCAACTCCTGATAACATACCCAACTCCTGATAACATACCCAACTCCTCATAACATACCCAACTCCTGCTAACATACCCAACTCCTCATATCATACCCAACTACTGATAACATACCCAACTCCTGATAACATACCCAACTCTTGATAACATACCCAACTCCTCATAGCATACCCAACTCCTGATAACATACCAAACTCCTGCTAACATACCCAACTCCTGATAACATACCCAACTCCTGATAACATACCCAACTCCTCATAACACACCAAACTCCTGATAACATACCCAACTCCTGATAACATACCCAACTCCTTATAACATACCCAACTCCTGATAACATACCAAACTCCTGATAACATACCCAACTCCTGATAACATACCCAACTCCTGATAACATACCCAACTCCTGATAACATACCCAACTCCTCATAACATACCCAACTCCTCATAACATACCCAACTCCTCATAACATACCTAACTCCTGATAACATACCAAACTCCTGATAACATACCCAACTCCTGATAACATTACCCAAATCCTCATAACATACCCAAATCCTCATAACATACCCAATTTCACTTTTTAAAAACTTGATGGTACGTATCCGCCACCGTACAATCGTTTCCATTTCTGATGTAACCAACCGTGTAACATTTCATGTCCGCATGAATCGAGGGCGCGGATATTTTTTTTTTTTTTGTATTTACATATATTTATATATATATGATTATGGTCAGATAAGTTAACTCAATAATAGCCGCTATTCCAGAACTATGTAAGTGACTGTTCGACACGTGGCAGTAGTTTAGATAGTACATCAGGCACAGATAAATGTCATCTGAAAGTTTAAAAGTAGTGTAAATGTGTCATGTGATAATATGTGATATGTTTTTCCCTAATGTGACGTGATGGTGAAAGAACATCAGTCGATTGGTGATAGAAATAACTGTGGTTGACAATTTCTGCCCTTCAGAATTTTTTAGTTATAGTAAACACTTTACCAAAACGTTGCATCAATTCATATTAAGCGATGCACATGAAAACTAACAAATTGTACATTAACTTTTACAACAACTGCGAGACTATTTCTGACTAACCCTCACAGCCCCACAGTACGCCAAACCATTTCTTTCACGCCCTTGACTTCCCTCACAGCCCTACAGTACGCCAAACCATTGCTTCCACGGCCCTGTCTTACACTCACAGCCCCACAGTACGCCAAACCATTGTTTCCGCCGCCCCTGACTTACCCTCACAGCCCCACAGTACGCCAAACCATTGTTTCCGCCGCCCCTGTCTTACCCTCACAGCCCCACAGTACGCCAAACCATTGTTTCCGCCGCCCCTGACTTACCCTCACAGCCCCACAGTACGCCAAGCCCTTGTTTCCGCCGCCCTCAAAAACCAAGTTCTCAAACGGATACTCATGGTCCTGAATATCCACTTTCATGGCAGTAACTTCTAAGTCGTTCAGAATGGATGGCATTTTCTGGTACTGCTTTCTTTTGTTGACTGCAATGGAGAAATCAAAATCACAATCTAAAACAGAAAATTATATTTTTTCCTGTTTACGTTAATAGATTCATGATATTGTTTCTAAGTCAAACACGTGGTCTCCTGAAATGCTAACTGCTAACCTGAAGTAAATTGATTAAATCGATTCTACAGCTAACACGTGGTCTTCTGAAATGCTAACTGCTAACCTGAAGTAAATTGATTAAATCGATTCTACAGCTAACACGTGGTCTTCTGAAATGCTAACTGCTAACCTGAAGTAAATGTATTAAATCGATTCTACAGCTAACACATGGTCTTCTGAAATGCTAACTGCTAACCTGAAGTAAATGTATTAAATCGATACTACAGCTAACACGTTGTCTTCTGAAATGCTAACAGCTAACCTGAAGTAAATGTATTAAATCGATTCTACAGCTAACACGTGGTCTTCTGAAATGCTAACTGCTAACCTGATTGATTATATCGATTCTACAGTTTACGATGTTTACAACACGAATATAGATGTGTAAAACATTTTTTTATCTGCGAAAGAATACTACCTACAATATCACATATAGCATACTTCACTGTATACTGAGTTAACAGGCTAATGTTGAGGATATACAATCACACTTGACATGATATACCAGATATGACCAAATACCAATGTCCTTTACGAAAAAGCACAGTGGAATGTTCAAACTCGCCAGTTTTATGAGAAAACCCAAACAAATTTGGGAAGGAGGTCAGTTTCTCTTTGTCTACTTATTTCTTGTCTATATAAATTATGTCGTCACTACATTATATAAAATATTATTTTTGTATCATCATCAATTTTACATCCACATAGAAAGTGACTAACACATTTGTATCTATCACGGGAAAGTTGGTTTCTAAACATTGACACCAAAAATATACAATCTTCATTCACGTGTTGATGACGACATAAAAAGAGCTGTCCGAAGAGAGACGAATCAAAATAATCAAAGAGTGCGTTAACAGTGGTGTGAAATGTTAACAGTGGTGTGAAATGTTAACAGTGGTGTGAAATGTCCGTTAACAGTGGTGTGAAATGTTAACAGTGGTGTGAAATGTCCGTTAACAGTGGTGTGAAATGTTAACAGTGGTGTGAAATGTTAACAGTGGTGTGAAATGTCCGTTAACAGTGGTGTGAAATGTCCGTTATATATCAAATTCGAGATTTCACATTTTTTTTACATTATCAAGAAAATCTTTGAAAAAGAAGAAGAAAATAAACCAAGTGTGAAAAATACATCAGGATTAAACAATATATATATGTGACTAAATATAACGTATATTTCTGCATATTTTACACAAAGGTTTATTTATTTATTTATTTACTTATTTATTGTAGAAAAGATCCTGTCAGCTGTGATAAAGTGGTATGTTGTCACTTAATAGTAAACAGACAGGACAATAAGGAGTTTTATCACAAACATGGGATAGTACAGTAAAATAAATGTACACAAAAAACAAATAACAGTGAAACATTGCATTTTATGTTCAAAACAGTCCATCAACCCAGAGGTCATTGCGGTAAAGATATGGTGGATAAATAAGTAAAAAAAAACAACATCAAACAAACGAAAAACGTGAAGGCCGACGCCAAAACACTCACACCTACAGTTTAAAACAGGAAGTAACCATGGTAAGGTAGGAATATCAAAGATACAAGAGAATTAGGTTTAAAACATTTTAAGAGACGTGTCAAATCTCTGCATATCCATCAAAAAAACAAAAACAAAAACAAAAAAACAAAAAACAAACGATTCCTTGTTAAGCTTGTAAAACACAATGCAGTTTTATACCGGTGCAGCACAGTTCTGTTGTGTATACAAAAAGGCACGAGAGAGCCTGCAGCTGTGAGGTACATATCGTGTAATACTACACATGTGTGTCTTCACAGGCATACGTGTCCGACAAAGAATGATTCATTAATATCAGTTGTAATCCACCATGGTTTTAACTCTTTGATTTACATATGTACTGTGAAATCGTTAATTTTCGTGGGGGAATTATTTTCGTTTTGAATTGCTAGCTACTCTAAATCCACGAATTTTATATGTCCAAGAAATGATACACAGATATAGTTTAACATCGATTATACTACTAGTATATTTTGTGAGCAAAATTTATCCACGAAATTAAGGGTCAACGAAAATGTGTATTTTTAGAAAACCTCAAAGTTTGAGCCCCACGAAAATATCTGATTATACAGTAGAAAACAGACATTCCCCTTTTACAACCATAATGCCCGTGTTAGCTAACTCCATGAGAAAAATGTCATCAACATCGGTTTAAGTACAATCCTAGCCTCTCTACAATGTTGTAGCTTGTCGAGTTCCTTCCAGATCGATTCAGATCGATGGACACTTATCATATTTCTGAAGATCTTTCTATTGATATAAATATTTCTACATAGGAAATATATTGGGGTTTTGATTTACGACCTGGAACAGCTTTGGAAAATGAACAGTTGCATTTATAAAAAAAAATATTCCCGGTGTAGTATCTGCTTTGACGATATTTTCAAAATAACAAACAATTTTTTCATTGACTAAGAATTTCCACATCTAATCTAGTCCTTTGACTTTCTGTATTTATATAAAAAAAATAATGAAAACCCACATTGAAAAAAATAAACTTCAGCGCTTGTATCATTCGGAATAATTCATTTGTGTTTCAATCAAATTTTGAAATATGATTAAAATAGTGAAACAGTTACCTGTATTTATTTCTGTATAAGAGGTTATTATGTATAACCCTTTACTTTGATGAAAGGCGTGTAATCAAGATATTCAGCAATTTTGTTTACATTTTCGGGATTTACATGACACTTATTAATAGACTGATAAATCACGTGATTTTCAGATCAATACATTCTAAAAATATCAGTTTGTCATAGACTTCTATTTTCTTTACGATGACGAATATATTTCATTGGAACTGTTTAATCAATATTTCATAATTAACGCATAATTTGTGAAAGCCTTACAAGGTATTGATCACCATTACAGCATTCCAAAGAGATCACTCAAATGTGAAGTCACAAAAAAAAAAAAAAAAAAAACAAGGACATATTTCTATGTTTTAGTTAATCTGTCTGGAGACATCTCTAATAAGTTTCATGTTTCAAAAAATATCAATACAACAGGGAACAAAGTGATAAAACGGAACACAATATACATTGTTTACAACTGGTTTCCGATGACATATGAAATGACACCTTGTCTCGTAGACTAACGTTTTTGACGAGAATTCAATCAGACTTGAGCACGTGGGTAACATTTTATTTGAATGCAGTACCGTGTTATTGGTTTTCTTATAGATATATTACTTATTTTCCGAATAAATGCTCGCGTAAAATATGAATTACAAATACTTCTAGGAAATCTCCTCAATGTGATTTATTTTTTTATTCAGGTTTCAAGATTCAATCAAAGATTAGGCGTAAAGGAGGTGACAACACAAAATACTGAAAAAATATGTTTGAATCATACCAGCCGACATGTTGGCGTGCTTCTGAGTACAGGCATCTAGAATGTCCAACACAATAAATAAAAAAACACATGAGATATACGACTATTGGAAATCACAGATCTAGTACGTCAAAACCCCGTTGATGGTTACGAAATCACAACGAACCAGGTCTGTTCTAAAAGTATGACACCACAAAAATAGATGATGACGTCATCTATAGACACTTTGTACGTGGGTTCTGTTCGAGTAACTAGAATCAGCCTTGTCGAGATTTAGTCAGCATGTTTCATAACCATCAATATCATTTAGGAATACACTTTTCCAAGACGATTTGCTGAATTACACAAGCCGATTGTGTTTAAGTTGACGTGTACGGTATGTGTTATTATAGGTTCCTAAAGCTAAATTTCAAACTTGACCCATTTCTTTCGATAATGTTCACAAGCTTGACTTTTCAAAATATGTCAACAAGGTCTTATGACGCATATTTCAATTTTTTGGTGTGGCCCATTTTATGATACTTTGCACAAAAGTGACTTTTTTTTTCTTATTTTAAAAATACCGTATGCTTTTCACAAAATAAACTCAATAGAAGCACTAATGCCTTTTTTCTCTCGGCCATTTTGTAGATTGTTACAACTTCGAATAAAAGAATAATGAAAACACACGACTAGAATAATGTATACTTTGAGTTTCCCTTCAGACAATCTAAATAGTAGTAAAAACACGAGTGAAAATATAGGTGAACAAGGATTTTAAAGTTCGTAGTTAATATAATAAAAAGTTAAAGATGACGATTCGTTCACATTTTTTCAAAATGTATACAAACAGAAGTTGAAAACTGAATAACTTCCAAACTAATCATGCTAATTTTTACGATCAAAAGGAATTTCTAATATACGTCACTGGTTGGGCGAATTCGGCTCTACAAATGATCGTGGTCGAAATCACCTCTTAATGATATTGAATTTCAACCGGTTAACTAGGTTTTCCTACACACTGGTGGTTATATAATCCACAGATGAGTATTACATGCCAAACTGATTACAGGTACGAAGTTTTATAAATATGTAAGTTTCCTGTTTAGCTAGTACAAAAGACATTGATGGTCCTATTCCTAATGTGTGTTCATGAGTTAGGTTCATTCCCTTTTCTTTCACATGGACTTTGTTCAATCTGGTTTGATGGCGGATGTTTTCAGTAAATGGACCGAGATTGTGTCGCTGAAAGCGTACAGCTGACTCCGACTATAAACCGGCTGCCGCTGAAGGAATATGCCGATTATATGTTTTACAACGTGTCTGATCCCACACATGACTAACATGTAGATTTAACGTAACGCCACCTGCTGGGACTTAAGACATATTTATGTTTAATATAAAGACTAATTGTAAACGTGAAAACATTGACACACCTTCCTCTGTCACAGACATCGTGGCGGAAGGGAACAAGAGCGAACCTAACTTTGACTACAGTAAGTGGTAACCTGACTAGACTCCATCTGTAGCTACAATATATACCTGGATAAGACAACCTTACTGTCATACATAAATATTTACATTTATCTGCAATAAAAATTCAGGATTGGAATTCCCTTTGAAATTCGTTCATGAATGACCTGGTTGTTTAACAGCTTGTCCATCATCTTCAGGTAAAGCTGAAGTGTCTGAATGAATATATGGCTTTTGTCATATCTTACACCTAACCTGGTAACCTCTTGTCTATAGGCCCTAAAAAGGCCAGTCTGAACCGCTTTTTTGAAACATGCCTAAATACTTGTACCAGGTTTTATTTTGCATACAAACAATGACCATACCAGAACGTACCCTAGTTTTACAATTCTACATACAAACGACCAACATTCATACACATGAACTGGTTCTGATAATTCTACATACGAAACGATCACCATACATACACATGAACTGGTTCTGACAATTCTACATACACACGACCACCATACCTATATACCAAACGACCACCATACATACACATGAACTGGTTCTGATAATTCTACATACAAACGACCACCATACATACACATGTACTGGTTCTGATAATTCTACATACAAACGATCACCATACATACACATGGACTGGTTCTGATAATCCTACATACAAACGACCACCATACATACACATGAACTGGTTCTGACAATCCTACATACAAACGACCACCATACATACACATGAACTGGTTCTGATAATTCTACATACAATACAAACGATACCAAACGACCACCATACATACACATGGACTGGTTCTGACAATTCTACATACAAACGACCACCATACATACACATGAACTGGTTCTGACAATCCTACATACAAACGACCACCATACATACACATGGACTGGTTCTGACAATTCTACATACAAACGACCACCATACATACACATGAACTGGTTCTGACAATCCTACATACAAACGACCACCATACATACACATGGACTGGTTCTGATAATTCTACATATAAAACGATCACCATACATACACATGAACCGGTTCTGATAATTCTACATACAAACGACCACCATACATACACATGAACCGGTTCTGATAATTCTACATACAAACGACCACCATACATACACATGGACTGGTTCTGACAATTCTACATACAAACGATCACCATACATACACATGGACTGGTTCTGATAATTCTACATACAAACGACCACCATACATACACATGAACTGGTTCTGATAATCCTACATACAAACGACCACCATACATACACATGGACTGGTTCTGATAATCCTACATACAAACGACCACCATACCTATATACCAAACGATCACCATACATACACATGTACTGGTTCTGATAACTCTACATACAAACGACCACCATACATACACATGGACTGGTTCTGACAATTCTACATACAAACGACCACCATACATACACATGTACTGGTTCTGATAATTCTACATACAAAATGATCACCATACATACACATGGACTGGTTCTGATAATTCTACATACCAAACGACCACCATACATACACATGGACTGGTTCTGACAATTCTACATACAAACGACCAACATACATACACATGAACTGGTTCTGATAATCCTACATACAAACGGCCAACATACATACACATGAACTGGTTCTGACAATTCTACATACAAACGACCAACATACATACACATGAACTGGTTCTGACAATTCTACATACAAACGACCAACATACATACACATGAACTGGTTCTGACAATCCTACATACAAACGACCAACATACATACACATGAACTGGTTCTGACAATTCTACATACAAACGACCAACATACATACACATGAACTGGTTCTGACAATCCTACATACAAACGACCACCATACATACACATGGACTGGTTCTGACAATCCTACATACAAACGACCACCATACATACACATGAACTGGTTCTGACAATCTTGATTATAGACACATGTAACAAAACTAAACAGATTTAGAGTCATCGTCTTTGTGTGATGACTACTATGTATTTACATTGTCGTATTATTCCAAATTGTGTTGTCAGTCACATACCTTTTCCGTCTACTTCATCCGGCTTGCCGCTGGATCCGACGCCATTTTTATTTTCCGTATGTCGCTCGCTCTCGTGCAGCCTTTCGCTGACCAGGCGGTGACGCTGTTTCTGTAGTTTGACTTTGGCTGGATGTTTCCGGTCCACCATTTCCTGGGGGTCTGGTCGGCGGTAATTAAAAACGTTCCCCATCTGAAAATGCGATATTCAAACCATGGTCAGTATACATTCTGGTAGCTCTCTTATAGAAAAAAACTTTTAAATATATCCTGCAGAACGTGATTTAACCAATCAACGCCCCCCCCCACCCCCTCCTCACCGAAAAAAAGCAAAAAACCACAAAAACAGTAGTAGAAAAAAAATAGTTGAATATGTACCTAGCTCGTCAAAGAAATAATGTCTAATTACTGGTATTTGACAATTTAAATAAAGCATTATATTGTAACAAGTATCCTTTCCAACCGGATCCGGAAGTGTTTGTGTACGACTAACAAACTCGAGAGTGTCATCGTATAATGAAGTTAGATCGAAATACAGATTCACCTTAGATATTTCGCAGGTTTTAAACAAGACACCAAGTTAATTGCTGCACGTGACAATGTATCGGATTATCAACGACCGCTGAACATAATGTCATATCTGACAAGTTAGTTTATTATCTACATATTGGACTGGACTTTGTTATGTCACGGCAATTTGATATTGTTTTTAATTTTTTATTTTGTGTGGCGTTCAACATTGACATTCACATTTGACCTTGGGACCTGAAAACCAGTTTCAAGCAAAGCATTTCAGCGAAAGGTTTGGACGTCAACAGAGCGTTTACTATGCTCCAGAAAACGTGATATTACTCCGCACAGAACACGTTCACTTAGAGCTTCTATTTGTTACGCGTCACCATCCATAATCTCATGTAAATTAATGTTTTGTTGAAGCACAACCTCACGAAAATCCACCACCTCACATTAACACAAACAAAAATTCAATAAAGAATTCTTGAAGCATGACCTGACAGGAAAAAATACCTGACTAACCTTTTCCCAAACAGAACACTTTCAATAAAGAACTGTTGAACCATGAGAAATGTAGTGGAGTCATATCATGCACGGCAAACGTGTCACGCACTTAATATTTCAAAGGACACCATTTATATTCTGTACTATAACGATAAAGTATTGTTTCAGCAGCTTTTGTCTTGTTAAAAGAATAGGTTATCAGGTCGCACGTTCGATACAGCAATCGCCTATCACTAAGTGATCGGGGTTCGATTCCTGATCTAAAATGGGGAGATATGAGGTCCCAGTCAGGTACAAAGTTTTCTGACACACACACACACGCTTTACCTAGTAATTTCATCCGGCCATCTACACTGATCAAAATAAATCGATAAACTTGTTTTACATTCTTGTAAAATAAAGTTTCGATTTCTTGAATTAAGGACAGCTTGAACCCCCCCCCCCCCCCCCCCCCCCCCCCCCCCCACACACACACAAACATACACACACGCACGCACGCACGCACGCACGCACACACACACACAAATTGTCAGAAAGGTCAATGTAAATCGTATCAGTATTTCGCTTTTCTTTGAAGCTACACTGAACACACGGGACCAAGATTCTCCGTTTCTTCAACTCACCCTTCCGACAATTTTGAGAGTTGATCGTTTTCAATTTGACTAATTTTTTTTCTTACTGCAATAAGATCATAGTTTAAGAATAACATCTAACCTTGCCCTTTGACCCAGTGACACTGACCTACAGACAGGCAATATCTGGCTTGTTTGATGAGTTAATAATTACAAAGAGCGTTAAATTGGTTTTGCACACCACATGACGGTCATGCAGTTTATCAAGATAGATCAACATTCTTTAGAAATCTTCCCCACATCCCAAACGATGGTAGATATCCACACAGCGGCCAAGGTCGCTTGTTTCCGCACGAACAAACCAAAAAGTCAAATAAGTGCCGGTGCTTTGCTTCCAGAGAGGCTAACATAAAACTGTACCAAAAAGAACAATTGTGGAATAGATAATCTTAATTTACTAAACAACAATGACTGAAAGCAAAATTTTATATAATTTTAGCGGAACCGAAATGGCTCGATCGTCAGCGACCGGTTAGCTCAACTGATAGACTGGCCGTCAAAGAGTTCGGAGGGCCCTTGGTTCGAGTGTTGCTCTACATTTTCCCGATCCTGCTAAAAACTGATGTCTGTACCCAACACTTGATTTAAGGTAAATGCTTGACTAGGAAATATCCTAACCTCGAACAGCCGAACAGTGGTCTTCGGGGGCGAAGCTTACAATGAGGACGGATGTATGTAGCGGAATGCAACTGGATCGATCGTTGACGAGTAGGTTGCTCACTTGGTTGAGCGTAGAGTTCGGAGGGTCTCTGGTTCGATTCCTGGTCTGCATTTTCCGCCCCGCGCCTGGTTGAGTTCGGAGGGTCTCTGGTTCGATTCCTGGTCTGCATCTTCCGCCCCGCGCCTGGTTGAGTTCGGAGGGTCTCTGCTTCGAACCCTGGTCTGCAATTCTCCACCTCGCTCCGTGATGAGTTCGGAGGGTCTCTGCTTCGAACCCTGGTCTGCATTTCTCCATCCCGCTCCGTAATGAGTTCGGAGGGTCTCTGCTTCGAACCCTGGTCTGCAATTCTCCACCCCGCTCCGTGATGAGTTCGGAGGGTCTCTGCTTCGAACCCTGGTCTGCATTTCTCCATCCCGCTCCGTGATGAGTTCGGAGGGTCTCACGATCTGGCCGTGCATTTACAGCTACATTAACTTTGATATCTCTTCGTTCGTATATTCTGGTTTTGTTCCTATTGTACATATCAATGTATCTTAATATATATTGTATCATTCAGTTTTCGTATTAAAACTCCGGTGTATAGCTGAAATCGACACAGGTCAGAAAGTAGTGGTATAACGGGGGGATTGATACAATTGATTGTGATAATAAATGGGAAAGTAATGCTGAAATATATGGTATGCATTTATTGTGTACACTGCCATTATACCTAAACAGAAAGTGAGATTGAATAAATGCCAAAGTTATAGGTTATGGCAATTAGTTCCGACGGAGTAAATAAACTAGTGTACAAAATCAATGCTTCACCTCAGCGATAACGCACCACTGCACTCAATCGCATGGATCATGCATAATTTACACGGTGTTTAGACCAAAGTAAGCGCTGTAGGGTATGAATACGATAAAGCACTACTTTGAACTCGTGTTTGACAAAAAATGATATGGTCTAGTGGGAAGTTTGCCTAATATTAGAGAAGGATAGCGATATAAAAAGCCGGATTCATTCATATCCAGTCGTGGTAACGCGACAAACAATGCTTTCTAATACATCACGTGTACAAATTATACACGTTTCCAGAATATACGATGTATACAAATTATTAGTACTAAATGAAAATCAGTGAAAAAGATATATTATGATAACAAGGCCATTCCCGTTCATAACCGGAAGTCTTGCTTAGCTTCGACTGTGTATAGTCAAACTTGTGTTTACAATCAAACACATCCACAATTAATTACAGTCAGTGATCTCAATTACATGCACACTTTATACATACCTTAATTAAGAACCTGTCGTCAGGATTAAAACGGATGGGCGAAAACATTGCGTGACAAATATCTCCATCTGTACTTTGATAAATTACATTAGACAGTACAAACTTAGACACGAATTTCCGTGAACTTGTAGTGTGGTGAAAGCAGAGATATCTCAATATATGTTTGTAAATTTAAAGGAAATACCACTCTCTCTGGATACTTCAAAAATTCTACCAGCAATTATGTTTTTAATAATTTATTTCTAATTAATTTCTGGACTTGCTGAAAGTACATCAATTGTTTCAAATTCCAGCATTCACAGGAGACGCATTGTGCCCTATTGGTTAATTGATAATACATACAATGTGCATAAGATTTTTGTACAAAAGACACACAAGTAAATAACATCTTTAAATACAAATTTAGAATTAGACACGGTAGAGTCAAGGAATGAATTAAGCTGCATCATACAGCTGTTTCGTCCTTCTAGGACTCGTCATGCTACATCATACAGCTGTTTCGTCCTTCTAGGACTCGTCAGTGATGCTACATCATACAGCTGTATCGTCCTTCTAGGACTCGTCAGTGATGCTACATCATACAGCTGTTTCGTCCTTCTAGAAATCGTCATGCTACATCATACAGCTGTTTCGTCCTTCTAGGATTCGTCAGTGATGCCACATCATACAGCTGTATCGTCCTTCTAGGACTCGTCAGTGATGCCACATCATACAGCTGTATCGTCCTTCTAGGACTCGTCAGTGATGCTACATCATACAGCTGTATCGTCCTTCTAGGACTCGTCAGTGATGCTACATCATACACCTGTATCGTCCTTCTAGGACTCGTCAGTGATGCAACATCATACAGCTGTTTCGTCCTTCTAGTACCCGTCAGTGATGCTACATCATACAGCTGTTTCGTCCTTCTAGGAGTCGTCAGTGATGCTACATCATACAACTGTTTTGTCCTTCTAGGACTCGTCAGTGATGCTAAGGGTCAAAATTCTGAAGTTTAGGAGGTGGCTGAGGAAAATAGACACAGTTGTTTTGGCTCCAAGCTCTATCATAAACTATTGTATCAATACAAAATCTTTCGAAAGAAACTCTCGATAATTTGGATGTTAATTATGAAAATATTCAAATCTCAGTGAATATTGTATCTCAACAATTTGACTGTTGAATAATTATAGAACGACCACCAACGCTGGTTGTAGGGCGGCAACACACATGTGTGTATGTACCTGGTAGGCCACTGTGTACTTAATGTGCGTAATTTTCATCGGAAGGCACGCTATTTCGCCAGTCAGAAAATATATAGCATCTACATCTTTAACATTAAAGTATTGTACTTGCTTGCATAGTTCATAACACATAATTTTTATCGCTTACAAATGCGTGCCATTTATCTTCATAATAACACGCGAAAATTGGGTAGAATTTTTTTTAAAAATTTCAAGACATCTACTGACCGGTGGTTTTAAATTTTGATATGAACCAAGGTACTTTCATAACTAGCCATAAACTACTTTAAAAAATTAAACTGCTACACATGTGATTTATTTAAGGATTGTGGATATGAAATACATTGTGGAATGTGTCTTTTGAGCTGAATGCTTTGCATACAACCCTGTATGTATTATTTTCCGTGAGACCGTTGTTAAACTACACTCAGTCATAATACTATGTTCTACACATGTAAAGACATTTACCTTAGATTCATCTTGGCCCATGATTTCCACGTCAGTGAACTCAATTCACACTCACTGATTTATGTGTGTAATCTGTCCCAGTGTTAATCACCTCCTTCTGTAGTTTCACTAGAAATCAGCTGATGTGACTATATACTGTCCTCTAGTCCCGCGGTGGATACCAGCTGATGTGACTATATACTGCACTCTAGTCCCTCGGTGGAGATCAGCTGATGGGACTATAGACTTTCCTCTAGTCCCGCGATGGATACCAGCTGATGTGACTATATACTGTCCTCTAGTCCCTCGGTGGAGATCAGCTGATGGGACTATAGACTTTCCTCTAGTCATGCGGCGGATACCAGCTGATGTGACTATATACTGTCCTCTAGTCCCTCGGTGAAGATCAGCTGATGTGACTATATACTGCCCTCTAGTCCCTCGGTGGAGATCAGCTGATGTGACTATATACTGTCCTCTAGTCCCTCGGTGGAGATCAGCTGATGTGACTATATATTGTCCTCTAGTTCCACGATGGAGATCAGCTGATGTGACTATATACTGCCCTCTAGTCCCTCGGTGTAGATCAGCTGATGTGACTATATACTGTCCTCTAGTCCCTCGGTGGAGATCAGCTGATGTGACTATATACTGCCCTCTATTCCCTCGGTGGAGATCAGCTGATGTAACTATATACTGCCCTCTAGTCCCTCGGTGGAGAGTCCCTCGGTGGAGATCAGCTGATGTGACTATATATTGTCCTCTAGTCCCTCGGTGGGGATCAGCTGATGTAACTATATACTGCCCTCTAGTCCCTCGGTGGAGATCAGCTGATGTAACTATATACTGCCCTCTATTCCCTCGGTGGAGATCAGCTGATGTAACTATATACTGCCCTCTAGTCCCTCGGTGGAGATCAGCTGATGTGACTATATACTGTCCTCTAGTCCCTCGGTGGAGATCAGCTGATGTGACTATATATTGTCCTCTAGTCCCTCGGTGGGGATCAGCTGATGTAACTATATACTGCCCTCTAGTCCCTCGGTGGAGATCAGCTGATGTAACTATATACTGCCCTCTAGTTCCACGATGGAGATCAGCTGATGTGACTATATACTGCCCTCTAGTCCCTCGGTGGAGATTAGCTGATGGGACTATAGACTTTCCTCTAGTCCCTCGGTGGAGAGCAGCTGATGTGACTTTATACTGTCCTCTAGTCCCTCGGTGGAGATCAGCTGATGTGACTTTATACTGCCCTCTAGTCCCGCGGTGGAGATCAAGTGGATTGTGTCCGTTGACTTTACTATATACTCCCTTTAGTCCGTGTGGATTGTGTCCGTTGACTTGACTATATACTCCCCTTAGTCCGTGTGGATTGTGTCCGTTGACTTGACTATATACTCCCTTAGTCCGTGTGGATTGTGTCCGTTGACTTGACTATATATTCCCTTAGTCCGTGTGGATTGTGTCCGTTGACTTGACTATATACTCCCTTTAGTCCGTGTGGATTGTGTCCGTTGACTTGACTATATACTCCCCTTAGTCCGTGTGGATTGTGTCCGTTGATATGACAACAGACACACGTTTAGCATAAAGTCGTAAACGCAGTAATTGATATAATTCAACAAAAAGTTCGTCAAAGATGAAGCGTCTCATGACATCTACCTGTCACGTGATGGATAATTCCGAGATCAAAACAACAAGTCAATCAATACTAGTCACTGTCAACAGAATTCTTGATGACTACGCTGACTTAAAATTCTGTTTACGCTTTCCTGGCATCGTTCGGTTAGTACGTCATAAAGAAATCACATTTCTACCCGAAATGACATTTCTACACGTACGTAACTGATGTTTGTTCTGTAAATTGAAAATGATGTTCTGTCCTCTCGTATTTGAAGCCACGCGAGTAGTTATATGACTTTAAATACACTACCGTGTAAATAGACATGAATTATGATCGATTGCCTAATTAGGTTTCCAAGCTTTCTAGATATTTCCGATAATGTGCAAATGGAATACACGCATGAATGAGGAACACGGGCTTCCAGGTGAAATCTCAAAAAAAATAAATAAACAGAAATAAATAAAAAACAAATAACATCACACTGCTTTATTTCATAATTGGATAAAAAAATAAAAAAAACCCCGAAAAACACCTCTTACTTCCTTTTTCAATTCCTCCCTTCAAGAAGCTTAAGATCCAAGCTTTCTGTAACCATGGTTTGCATGTAATTAATAATTAATTTTGAGAGGAACACGTGTTTATTACAGAAAATAAAAAAACCCAGAGAGGATTGATGTTACTGAAACCACACACATTGATAAACAGTTAGAATCCGCATTCAAATAGACTGAATCACACAAAATGTTGTTACAGAGAGAATTCTCCGAAACGGTAAAATTATACACGCCGTGCTTACATTGTAACTAGTCTCGACTAGAAAAATAAAAAAATATTTCCCAATAACATCCTGTACAAGCGTGTATATCAGTGTATGTACTACATGTAAAATGTTTATTGTGTAAATAATGATTGGTCTACTGTATGAAAGTTGAATACGAAAACGTGACATTCCACGAAAGAAAGAGGTCCGGCATTCAGATTTGTACATTGGTGTAACATTCCACACGTACAATTTGTAAGTCCCTGCCAGACAGTACAATACATACATGTATGCACGTGGTGACCTTCTGTCTGTCAGCATTTGAGCACAGCTGATTCCCAACAGGCTAATTCCGGAAATTATCGTATTAATGCAAGGAAACTATCTGTAATTGAGTGACAGAAGTTTTATTTTCCGTTGGCATTAACTAAAGCTTATTCTGGTCCTATGTTACTAACCAAATTACACAGACAAGTCGCCGAGGGGTAGTGTTCATGGAATTCAACAACGATAATATCATAGATGGACTTAAATCATGACCTCAGGGATGGCCTCTATTCTTAGTCAATTTAATTGTTCTCGTTTGGTTTATTTCAACGTTTGACAACAAACCTGTCCTTTTTTCTCCTTACGGCATATCATACAATGTACAACGATAAACAAAACACAACAGCGACATGTCAAATTTTCTAAAAGTTGTCTTTCCTGCAATAAAGAATTATCTACATGTATGATGTAACATCTGGATTGGCACTTACGTGTGTTAAAAATAAATAAAATACTACGTCATTGTTTTGTGTTTGAGACACAAATGTATTCCGATCGCCAAAAACATTTTTGGTATTGATTTTCGTCGATCTGCCCACAATGCAATTGTTTGTTTTAAACACGTTGTATATTTGTATGTGTCGTCATTTATAATTATTGAACAGTTAAAAGTTGGTCGCTAACTATAAAAAAAGATCTGCTCAGCTGTCGGCAGGCCTCCTGGGACAGGAATGAATAAATGCTTATATCACAAACCTAACTTCAGCCCGACATCACAAAATCATTCTGACATCATAAAGTCTTACTTCAGTTTGACATCACAAAGTCTTACTTCAGCCCGACATCACAAAATTTAACTTCAGCCCGATATCACAAAGACTTATTTCAGCCCGACATCACAAAATCATTCTGACATCACCAAGTCTTACTTCAGTCTGACATCACAAAGTCTAACTTCAGTCTGACACATCTATCCCCACTCCCTTCAAATCTTTCAACTTTTCAACAACCTCACTGTATAGTAGAATTGTATATCTCCCCTACTCTCCTACCTGCCTCTCCCACCATCATAAACCATTTGGCATTTATCTAAACATATTTTCGTTATGAATAAATCAATTGTAGAAACATTATCACTTGTTTACAGGTGACGAAATCAATGTCTGGAATACATGCAATGTAAACACTGTTTAAAAATGGGACGGTGGAGATGTAGGCTATTATATATAAAAACCACCGTTAAAATGCGACTTCATTGAAAGCACAGATATCGACGTCAATGAATTGTCACCTGACCCCGCAACTATTATGTACATTGCATGTAGTTGGCCAAAGGGTATTGAGAACTTAAGCATGGAAAATTATGCAACCCAGAAGTTGATACGACAATATAACACGCTCTATGGTGTCAGACTTATTTTCGATAAAGTCTTTTGGCACGAGCTAGATTTTAAACCGCGATCCATTTCAAATATATTAAATATTTTATAGAACTGTAGAAATTAGCTCAATTCAAACCTTGTTTCGTCTATTTTGTACGATAGCCAATAGTCACAATATAATCACGGTATGACGAGCATCTGTACATGTGCAATTTATGTACATTTCCTCATTAAATTGACCCCTGCGTCGACAAGTTCACTGCATTATCAGCGCGGGCACTTGTTACGTGTCAATCTGACGCAAACTGGTTAGGAGAAATTAGGACACCTGCTATTTTATGATCGTTTACAGTTTTAAAAAGCTAACAACTAACGATATTTATTGTTATAGCAGTTATAGGTCATCGTAGTTTTGATATACAAATGGATATACATTTGTAATCAAAACTCTTACGGAAATCTTACCGGTGCATATTTGCATACACACAGATATGTTATTGATGAGTGTGAGGAGGATACAATCTTAAGCTTGACCAATTCTGCTAACTTTCCCTTTAAATGATTAAGAACATTGAAATTTAAATAAACGTATTGTAAATGTACTTACATTTTACGAAATCTTAAATCCGCCTGTCGTTTATCTGCTATCCCACGTGTTGCGTTGATACTATATACAATAAAATGTATACATACTGCGCATGCGTTTTCCCAGTAAAATGCTAAAGATTCATCGTCTGCTTGTGAGTTATACTCCCGAACAGGAATATCGTCTGTAGTAGCGTCCCGAACCGTTCACAAAGATAATATGGGTACAGTGCCTTGAGGCGCCGGTGAATTACTGGGACATCAAAACCCACAAAATACCTCAAGGGGCCCTTCCCAAAACACCTGTATGTGTGTAGTCTGGCCCTTTCGATTAAATTATAAGACTTATCTCTCCTGTAAACTTACAGTCTAAGCTTAGAATAACTCGACCGAGTAAGCACGTGGTAGGAAATCAGATTCCCAGACGGTCAGGTAAACAACACAGTATCAGTGCAGTATGGAACGAGAATTTGACACGGTTATATATACGGAAACCCATAAATGCGTGGGATTGGCACACCGCATGGTCTGTATGCCAGTATGAAGTAGTGCATAACTAAGATCGGTAGATAAAAAACGAACTAGATGAGCTCCCAGGTCTTCCATATTTGCTGTCCTATCCTAAAACCGATATTCACAAACACTTTTTAATAATGTACACAAGCAAGCAGACAAGGTCATACCGGTAATAAAAAAAACTTCCGTTGAGTTGGTCAAGATTGTGAGAGGTCAGAAACTGGGCATTCGTATACAGATGACAGGTTTCAGACACAATGAGATACCTGTATGTTAAGAGTCACGTGATGGGAGTTAAAAACAGTGATGATGATGATGATGATGATGATGATGGTGGTGGTGGCGTTGGTAGTGATGGTGGTGGTGGTGGCGGTGATGATGATGATGATGATGATGATGATGATGATGGTGGCGGTGGCGGCGGCGGTGGCGGCGGTGGCGGTTGCCAGGGTGGTGGTGGTGGTGGCGGTGGCGGCGGCGGCGGCGGCGGCGGCGGCGGCGGCGGCGGTGGTGGTGGTGGTAATGGCGGTGGTGGAGGTGATGATGATGATGATGGTGATGATGATGATGGTGGTGGTGGTGGTGGTGATGGTGGTGGTGGTGGTGGTGGTGGTGGTGGCGGTGGTGGCGGTGGTGGTGGTGGTGGTGGTGGTGGTGGTGGTGGTGGTGGTGGTGATGGTGGTGGTGGTGGTGATGATGGTGGTGGTATTGATGGTGGGATGGTGGTGGTGATGGTGGTTGTGGTGATGGTGGTGATGGTGATGGTGGTGGAGGTGGTGGTGGTGGCGTTGGTGGTGGTGGTGGTGGTGGCGGTGGTGGTGGTGGCGGTGATGTTGGTGGTGGTGATGATGGTGATGATAATGATAATGATGATGATGATGATGATGATGATGATGATGATGATGATGATGATGGTGGTGGTTGTGATGGTTTCCGTGATGATGATGAAGCGTAAAGAACAGCAAAATGTCTGCGTGCACTAAATATCTCATTTAATATACTGTGATAAAGTTGATTAAATCCATAACTGCATCACAGATATAGGAGACCTGAGATGATACCGACCTTTACACTAGTGAACGGATTAGACAAATGGAAAAAGAGAGCATTTTTGTTACAATTGAATCAGAAATCGCATTAAAGACATAACAAAGTGTTTTAATATTAGATTAATCAATGATTGGACTGACCAAACAGACAGGTAGGCATTAGACAAACAACGAACCACTTCTAAAGCTGTCGATACATACACTGGGGAAAACTAACTGTTGAATTTACCCCTATACATCACAACTATTTAACAGGACTGTCTGCAAAGAACGCGTGAGATAACATGACATTTACACTGTCGTAATTGCAATCAAGTAAAGGACGATTTTAAAACTATACATCGTGACTTTAACGGAACAAAAATCAAAATGTGAAATGACCATTAAAAAACACAGAAGGAAACGTGAAATAACAGACTTAAGCCAGAAAGATTGTGTCCCCCAAGACCACGAAACGATCTCAAGCATAAAGCTGTCTAAATGACCTGGTCAATCACGAATAAAGTAGTGACGTCACGTGTGATTGGCAAAGTAGATACCTCAGGTTAAGATTGTTTCTCCAGGCATGCAGGTATAATAATAGGTTATACTGAATTGTTCGTAAAGCTGTTTCCTACTTCTTGGACTATTCAGTGATGTTTGGGAATAATACTTATTTCAAATTAGGTCATTATCATACTGCTCTAATTGGCCTATCAATCATTTTAATCTATACAAATATGTTAATAAAAACAAAAAAAGAAGAAGAACAACAACAACAACAAACAACAACAACAAACAACAACAACAAACAGCAACAACAACAACAACAACAAACAACAACAACAAACAGCAACAACAACAACAACAACAAACAACAACAACAAACAACAACAACAAACAACAACAAACAACAACAACAAACAACAACAACAAACAACAACAAACAACAACAACAAACAACAACACATACGTTTGTAGAAAAATTTAAAGAAAAATAAAAGTATTGATAAAACAGACAACGTTGTCATGCTGTGATCTCGTACCCGGTCACGAGTGTAGATTTAGAATGTCGGAACATTTTCTCGCGTCCACGTGTGTCAGCAATTTATACAAGTTATTTTTAGCAAGTCCGATGTTCTCTCATACGTGACGATTTTATAAAGCAATTTTACCATTTAAATGTAGTATCCCTTTACACAGCAATCACCGACAACTACTAAATAACATTCTATTATCTAATTATCAATCACAACCAAAATACTGTGTGCTGTCATTTATTCCGGATATTTTTGTAGTCAGCCAGGTTCATTTTGTGTCATGTTAGAAAATATCACCCGTTTTCTGGGAGGAAGAAATCAACTTATTTGCAACAGGAAAAAACAGATGAGAATTTCAGGCTAAGTAATTGGCAATAGATTAACCAATATGCCCATCGCTTCTGTTTATCCAATCAAAATGAGCCGATTCCAATTTTTCTGTTTTCTTCACGACAATTTAAACTTTGGTCAATTGAGAATTAATTAATAAATGATTAATGAGATTAATATCACACTCACTCCTAACTACATTTGTTATTTAAGTGACTAACTCTTACTTATTTATCTATTTATTCATATATTTTATCTATTTCTCTATTTTATTTATTTCTTTGTTTTGTTTGTTTGTTTTCTTGTCGGATTGGGTGGTTATTATTATTTTTTTTTTATTCTTTAAAGAAAATTGAAATTTTGTCCTTCGATCGACATTCACACTGTACTCCCCCGCCGCTTTTTGTACTTCCTTGGTCTTTATCTATGTCGCTTTCGTTATTTTGATTTGGTTTCGCTTTAAACCAAATAACCAGTGATCATACATTGGCGATAGTAAGCAGTGTGAAGAAATTGGAGAAGCGTTTGTGATCTGCTGGGAAACAAGACAAAACAAGTTACAAGTAGGGGCATTGACAGGTGGGCCAAAACAATCACCAACTAGTGGTTTTAACAGCTGCCTTAGAGGTTTTTTAATAGAGACAGACACAGGGTCAGTGCATTCATAAAATGACATTTATAGCAAAAGCGCTACCAGCATCCGAATCAGTAAAATTTTGTTATAGTCATGTACCATAAGGCAAAAGATAATCGAACCGAAGACATTGGTAAAAGAGCAGATGTTGTCGATATTACGAGTGCGTAATGTTTTCATATCTACTGGTGGTCGCGTAGCGCTGTGTTACAACCTGGACGATCACAGTACGAATCTTCGACCGGTCATGAAAAGATATGAAGAACCTAGCGTATTACGCGGGGTTTCCTGCAGGTATTCATGTCTATTCATACAGTGAGACCTCCACACGGTTCCATCTGAACTGACAGGAGTGTTTAATGTAAGCTGATATTTACTGATATTTGGTCGAATGGGAGACGGTGTCTGCTGGATGCTTGATTCAATAAAGCCTTGTACGTGCATTCATAGTCGAATCTGATATTAATGAGTTCACTAATACTGTACAGACACTAAAGGAGATCAATAGTTTTACTCCAAACATGTTTGTCGCAGATCTTACCGATTTAAAACAATATTTCAATGACAGCAGTTTTACAATGTCGAGAGATCTGATGCTGGAAAAGTCTTACCACTAGTGGGTAAGGTTGGGTAAACTTCAACCATGTTTGTTGTGGAGGTATATTACGACCAAGGCAGGTCCACAGACTGAGCATTTGAATTCCACCTGCTAGTGAAATGGTCTTAAGGGATGACTAACTTCAGGATCTTTATCACTATTATGGTAGGGAAAGGTTTGTTCACATCACGTGTTTATCTATGAGTGTAGTGATATTTAGCCCAAATGTAATCTGGACAAATGATGTCGAAAAACCGTGGTCATGACGTCACTCACAGTGTATATCCTTGGTGAGATCCTGCTTATATATATAGAGAGAAAAGCAGTACACGAGATACACTCCAATACAGATCCAAACAACAACCACAAATAGATACAAACAACAGCCACAAATAGATACAAACAACAGCCACAAATAGATACAAACAACAGCCACCTGTTACATATATGAGCTAATCCGAAATCGGTGGAAAAGACAATGAGTTTAAGGGCTAACGAAAAAGGCGGAAATGTAACTCATCTGCCATAGAGGACGAAAATTTCGCAGGAGGGGAAGTCAACATTAATATTGATTTGAACCTTGGAGTCAATTCAAATTTAGAATTCAAATAAAAAAATGTAAAAAAACGTTTGCATTATCTTCGACTGGCCTCTGACAAATTAGTATTGTCGAAGAAGCAACAGCGAGAGAAAATGGAACGAAATCGATTTTGTGATCATGTTGTGAAAGCTTACGTGAACTCTTTCTTGTGTCGTCGGATAACCAGAGGGTGTGATTTTGGGTGCGGTCATTCAACAGGAATGTGTGTACAACTATGTTCAAATATAACGAGAATACGCGAGAGATGACGAGATTATGGGATACAGATACAGGCACAACAATCCTGTAAAAAGTCATTTATTTAATATACAGATTTATGTCATCTAGTGTGAATATTTATGTGTTGTAAAGCATTTTTTGGAGAGGACTTGATTTAAGTTGGAAAACTTGTGCCCGATCTCCATTGCATTTATCTGACAAAATAAAAAAAAAAGTGTTTAAATCAAAACAACCCTATTTTGAATCTTGCATTTCCCAAAAAATCTTTTTACCTCGACCTCGATCAAAGCTTTTCTGTTATTCAGCTTGTCATCGGTGTTAGTGCCTAACAGTATGGAACAATTCAGTGTTAAATGACATCGTATACATTTTAAATTTATCATACCGATTATTTAATTTTGTATCGACGTTCGTCCGATTGTGTCTTTTATCACTCAAGCGGTTATCAAATATATGACAAAGCAGCTAGTCTTTATGGC